ACGAGTTGGGACGTGGCATCGCTACAATGGTGTTCCCAGTTAACGGCGTGGCTGGTACCTGTGGGGAAACCCATGCAGACCTCGACGAGGGTGTGTCGAGTGAGTTTGTAGACGAATGCGATGAAGCTGAGGTCAGCGCACGACTCAGATTCATCTGTGACAAATTTTTCTCAGAGGGTTTTGCAAAGCCAAGACTCTCTGCTAGATTTCTTGACGCGATGCTGGAAGAGGAGCTCAGCGACTCTGCCAACAAAGCTCATCGCGACTCATTGACTGAAGTCGCTGAACCAGAGTGCGGCTTGGCTACCAAGTCAGCTGAGGAGACTCTTGTTCAAAGACAAGAGTCCGTTCAGACCCCATCGGGTTTGAATAATGCTGGCTTAAAGGATCCAAAGCCAAAGTCTGGAACAGTGGAGGGTCTCCATGAGGCCTTCGCTCTATCGTCTTGGCAATCAGCCAATGGATTTTTTGGTGAATGTCTCTCCACAGGACTTCCCACACCGATGGAGATTGACGACGACCTGGCTTGGTGTGAAGTCGTGGAAGTTGAAGATCCTATGGAGATTGACGATGTTGTTGTTGTTGAGGTGATGGTGCCTGATGCCGATTGTGGCGAAGAGCTCGTGGCCCACACCTGCAATCCGGCGGTTGACGATTTGCAGCACTTCTCCCAGTCTGTAAAGAAGGATTGCGATACGAACAAGATTCCAGCCTGTGTCCCGCAGCAGGCTGCAGACGATAAGATGGATGAAGACACAAAAAAGATTGTGCTACCTGGAACATCCTCTCAGAAGAAGTACAATGTACCCAGCCCTAGACGCAAGGAAGGTGCCGACGAGGTCAAGGGTAACAGAGAGTATCCAATGGCGGTCTCCAGACCAAAAGAGGAGTACTCGATGATCCCTCGGCCTGCCAGTCAAAAGGCCATTGATGAACCAAAGGCCTCTAATGAAGGATCGAAAATCAAGTTGGCTTCGGCCTCTTGTGATCGTCCTTCACAGCTGCCTAAGCCACTCTCTGGCCTTCGCACCGAGAGGCCAAGGCTTTTGTCGAATTTTATCTGGGAGGCGTCTGGACCTTCTACAGCAGCCAGCTGTAACAAGGGAAAGGCTCCAAGCAAAGAATTCAAGACACAAGGGCAAGCCATTACTCCAGCTGCCAATTATTCTATTCCTGTTGCTGCACCCAGCAGCAAGAAAGTGAAGACTTCTGGAAGTGGTGCAGCTAAAGCTGAGTTCAAGGCACCTTGGCAAATAACTCCCCCGGCTGCCAAGCCTTCTACTCCTGTTGTTGCACCCAGCAGCAAAAAGGAGGAGAATGTCAAGGCAGAAGAGTCAGATCTTCCTGCTGCCCCCAGCAGCAAGAGAGTGAAGACTATGGGCGGTACTAAAGCCTATGTCAAATAAATGGTGCCCTTGCCATATAATAGTTCAGCTTCCAAGGAGTCTGATCCTATTGCTGCATCCAACAGCAAAGAGGAAAAGTGTTCTGAGGCAGTAGAGTCGGATCTTTTTTCTGCACCCAGCAGCAAGAAAGTGAAGAGATTGAACAAGCTCTAATCCAGTCATTCCCAACTCGCAATCCTGCGTCAAAGCCGGCAAAGTCTTCGAGTAATAGAGGAAAAGAGGATCCAAAGAGCCTATTGAAGTATGTGCTCCGATTCAAAGGCGATCCAACTGTCAACAAGGAGTAAGATTGTTTGTTAGCAGTGCCCGAGCTCACCTTGACCCATTGGGTCAGAGGTGTAGTGAAAGAATCTGCGGAGCTGATGATTCCGAAAACTTGGACAAATTTTTGTTGCCCTGTACGCTTCACCAAGCGGACATCTTGTCGGTCGGTTGGCCCTGGAGCCAAGCCGATGCGGTCGGAACCAAAGGTCGATCCTGAAGCTTCTGGTAAGCTTTATGGTGACACTGGAATTCCGAGACCTTTCACAGTACTTTTCCTTGGGACTATCTGCGTGGTGATTCACGCTGGGTCTCTTGGTTAAGCTGTAAGGGTAGCCTCTTTTACGTTCGGTTCCTACTGCTTTCAAATTCAAAGGACTGGATTATCGTTTCCCTCTAGGATCGACACCATGCTCCACCTGTTAGCTTGGTTATGAGTCTTGGCTTGGCATAGACAGTATAAAGAGAAGGTAGATTGTGGAGGTCTACATATGAGTGTAACTTGTGGTGGTACTAGACTGGTTTTCAAACCTGTTTGCCTCTGGTATTTGCCGTTTGTATACATTCGAGGGTGGTACTTGCACTGCTGTAGGGTTGGCTTGAACATTTTGTTCGTAGGGCTCTTGTTGACTTCCTCTCAGGTCTGAGGCCGAGATCTGTGAGTGGTGGTTTCTGTACGAGTAGGGCTTCCGGAGTCCTTGATTCTGGGTCGTTTTTGGGCCACGGTGGTCCTGTTGGATTGTCTGGTCTGGTTGGCTAGATTTCTGGTATCATTCTGGTATCATTCTGGAGATCGTTGTTAGCTAGGTTGCTAGCCTGTTCTGTACCTGGGTTCTGGGTCTTTGTAGCTTGAGTTTTGTGCTTAAGCCAGGGAGAATGAATACTGTGGGGCACGGTGTTCATTATGTAGTTATGTCTGGCCGAATGGGTTTTGCTTCCTTGCCGGGTTCTTTCTTGGGGTCCTTGGAAGGCTATCGTCAGTCCCCTCCTTTTTTTTCTGGTGAATACCTGAAGATTCACTGGTAAGCTCGAATAGGTCCTTTTGGACTTTGAGTTGACTATACCGTAGATTGTGTAAAATCTATTGTTGGGGGGTAGACAGTCCCAAGAGGTTTCGGGAAAACGAGCCAAGAACACCTAGTTCTTACGCAAGATTGGCGAGGTTTTCCCTCACAGACATGATGGTATATCAGTCATTATGATTGCTACCAGTCCTTGTGTCCGGACTCAAATGATGCATACACATGCATGTCCAGACATCCGCAGCTATTTTGAGATGGCAAAACCAAAGTTCATCTGCACAAAAGGATATGCTTCAATGACTGATCGATTAGGTACCAGTGACTTTGTCAGTCGAATCAAGATAACCTGACTATACAGTACATTGTCACTGGAGAGATAGCGTGGAATTCGCCGATGATTTCAAGCATCACGCAAAACCTGTGGTTAGAGTCCTAGCCACCCTCATTTGAGGAGGGCTCTGATCAATATGGTCTGGTAAATGAACCAGACCAAACAGTGTGAGCTAGAAATTGTCACCAAAAAAAAAGGCAGGTTACAGTTAGCAACTGGAAATGCGTATACTCAAGAAAATAAGACCCGAGTCGAAGGGCAATTTTGCAAACTTTCAGCTGTGAAGGAGAAGCAAGATTACTTTCGACAAACCTATCCAAACCAAGTCGAGACAAGTGCTTAAAAGCCATGCATATATATATATATACATTTATATAATTCTACGGAAAATTGAATCCAGTATCAAAGCAAAGTTGAACATAGACATGAACATGAACATGAACATGAACATGAACATGAACATGAACATGAACATGAAAAAAAGGATATCAAGCATTCAAGCATCTAAACTTTCAAGCACAACAAGCTTAACATCAAGTAGGCTGACCCAGAGTCTCGCCATCTCGCTGGGTTGGCCAAAAAGCACACCAAGAGTCTCGACTAGGATATGGTTACAACAAGAATAAATTCCTCATCATCATTCAAGACTATTGGCTCAGGACTGCAAAAAGGTATTTGGGATGTCCGGGTTTATATTATGGACCGAGAACACCAGCAGGAACAAGTAGAGGCCGTCAGTAGTAAACAACAGAGCTCAAGGCAGAAGCAATGTGAACCACAAAGCAAGCAATAAGGCAATTTTTCAAGGGCTGTTTTTGTCTCTGGATTTCTTTGTCAGAGACAATATCAACCATTAGTCCGTCTATTCAGAAGATAAGTACTATTTATACACAATATGTCTCGGTACTAATTATATGATATTTTTTCATCTTCTCAGGGCCGCCCTGTGACAGGGCTCGCAATACTACAACCCTTTAGAGGATACCATAGAGAGCTTGTGAGCGTTGAACTTTACCAAAAGGTAAAGCTGCTCGGTACGCCTGTAGTACCTTTTCTCCCCTCAAAATATTGTACATTACATTGTATGCCTGTATATATTTAGGGTTCTTGGTGTGGTAAGCCAAGATCTGGTAGCTCCTCTGCCATTCGGTGGTCAAACCCTTTTGTGATTGACCCCATCGCTGCAATTTGGCACATTGTTTCTGTTGGAAGCTTGGCTGTTTACTGTCGGTGGTCTCGTATACCTCCTGCTGGTGGTCAAGGTTCATTCCGCCCGGTCATCGAAGAACATTTTGCAGTCCTGAGCCCGTCTCTTCAGATGATGTTACCTATTCCAAGACAAGTTCCTTTACTTAAAAAACAAATTCTATCAATTAAGGTATGTTATTTTGGTCATTCAAACCTGCCTCATATGTAAATATATCTCTTGTTTTCTCACTCATTATTTTCTTTATCTTTTTAAGCCATATTTGGCCTTAGCAACTCAAATAATAAGGCAAATTCCGAAGCCTGAATCCTGTGCAAGAATGACAGCAGCAAGAACCAAGTCAAGCAAGAGGAATACAAAAAAAAAAAGATACAAAAAAAAGATACAAAAAAGAATACAAAAAAAAAGAAAAAAATATATTCACAATTATCTCTCTATCTCAAGTAAAAACTCATAGACTAGCAGAATCCCTGAAATGGTCAAGCCACGGTTTGCTTATATGTTCAAGTCCAATTCCAAGTCTTGTCCAAGTCCAAGTCCAAGTCCAAATGTCCAAGCACTGTCCAAGCACTGTCCAAGTACTGTTCTAGTACTAGTCCTAGCACATAAATATATATAAACAAGTAGAGAAGTACACAAGTAGAGAAGTATACATACATATATACACACACACACAAACACACGCAATTTCTATTTTTGCTATTTATTTCTTACACACACACACACACACATACACACACACACACACACAAATACACACACACATACACACACACATACACATAGTCATAGTCATAGGCATACAAACATACATATACACACTTATATACATACATATATACATACAAAAGTAGAGGCGCATTTCTATCAAAGTCCAAAATCTGGGCTGTACCTCCAAGTCTCAAGGCCAAGTCGATTTCCAAGAAGGGGTCCAATGCAAAATTCCAAAAGCAAGTTCCAAAAGAAAAACAAAAAACAAAAAACCAAATCCGAGGCCTATACTAAGTCCTGTAAAAAAAACGGGCATATACTAAGTCCTCCTTTCCAAAAGGATCAAAAGAAATCCGAACTTGAGGCATACACTAAGTCCTCCACTCCAAAAGGATCAAATCCAAAACCCGAGGCGTAGACCAAAACCTATCAGAAATGATCAGGCACATTAAGTCCTCCGCTCCAAAAGGATCAAAAGAAATCCGACCCTGAGGTCTATACTAAGTCCTGTCCAAAAATCACACAGGCATATACTAAGCCCTCCTCTCTCTCAAAAAAAAAAGCAAAAAAAAGCAAAAAAAAAAACGGACAAAAAAAAAGATCAAAAGAAAAATCAAATGGACCAAGAAAAAAAACCGACTGGACTTGACTGAAGCCGACTGGACTGGACTGAAGTAGCATGAACTTGACCATCTTATATTATATTATATTTAATTTAACTTATATTTCCTTTATAAAAATCTTTGAATAATAAAATTTTTCTCATATGTCTTTAGTATCATATTTATATTTTTTTCTCTTTTTTTCTACATTTGCTTTTAAAGATATTATGATTAATATTTGCAAAAGATAATAAGAATAATAAATTTTGTGCTTTTTCTATATTGCACTTAAAAGCTGTTTTATTATACTAAAGTCCCTTGGAAGAAAAGATCATTTAGGCAATTCTGAGAAAGATTTATGATATTTTCAAGACCACCCTCTGAATTAATCCTTTTCCCACATAGTATTGAATAGAGAAGGAGATTTCCTGTGTAAGATTCTTATCTAAATTTAGTTAATTTTTATAAAAAAATGAATTAATACGGGATTTGATCAATGCAGCAACCAACCCAATACTTCTTTGACAATAACAGTATCCAAGAATATCTTTTTATATGTAAGCTTTAAGAACGTGTACTGATGTATTCTCGTATAAGATTACATTAATTAAAAGAGTCTTGTGTTACCATATTGGCCAAATTAAGAACCTGGTAAATGATACCTTATTTCCAATACTATGAAAAATAGCCCTCACATATACATATCTATATCGTTTATTTGATGTAATTTCTCTTTATAAATAAGTTTCAATTGGTTTTACTTTTGCCATATGTCTCAAAGATCTGTCTCTTAGTCAAAAAAAAATTATAATAACCTTCATCAAAAAAAAAACAATTTTCCTTTTCCAGAAGCATATCGTTCTTTTGACCAAACCTTATAGTAAGCTTTCTTTATTGAAGGATACATTATAAAGAGGTTGATATACAGTTTATTTAATATTAAAAGATAAAGAAATTAAAAGGTATTTTGTGTAGAGTGGATGTAGTAAGGGTAAAATAAGGATATTAAGCATACAATTATTTTACCAAGCCTAGCTATTTACTTTTCTGTATATAATGTTTATAATATAAAAAATTTCTGAAAAATATTAAAAACCCACAACTTTTGTAAAGCGGCAAATAAATGCATATATATAGTGTTTTGGGACATTTATTTTAGTCGACAAGTGCTTGCACCTCTGTCACATATTAAAATTGGAACGATACAGAGAAGATTAGCATGGCCCCTGCACAAGGATGACACTAAACTTCTGAGATGGAACGCTCTACGGAGCATATTTTTTTTTGTTTTGTCACCACTTGATATTATTTTTATTTTTTTATTTTTTGTGTCAAATCTTGAAATTACTTATAAAAGGATACCACATTGACGAATGTCAATCTTACATCATAATGTACACCTTTATTATCCACTAATGCACAATCCTTCTCCCCTTCCTTGTTAAATGCATATCAATCTCTTCTTGCTCCTCATGCTGTAGATGGCTTTTGTTATGCAGTTCCATTAACACAAATCACCACTTCTTTTTTGCTGACAATGTAGCATTCTTTTTGGCTTGGCTTTAAATGTCCAGCCCATGTTCAACTTGAGCTGCGCAACACTTTTTATCACTCTAGCTGTCGTTTGAAGAACTTTTAAATATGCAGTCATATATACCCACTTTTCACGTTCTCTATACGATACTATTCCTGCTGATGGTGAAATTCATATACTTGGGTGTTCTCCTTCAGAAAGAAAGATGATTTATTTTTCTTTTTGGGTGGTCATTCATTGTTTCTCATTATCGTTATAGCACTCTTGCAACCATGGATACTCTTAATGCAGCTGGAGCTTGTTGATGGGCATTCAACATCTTAAACAGCTATCCTCAAACACACCAAATCGCAAACAAAAGAAAAATCGTAATTCTCTTTAGCTTGATCAACTTCTCCCCTCTTTTCAGCCAGCTCTCAAAATCTACACCACTTATGTGATCACATATTGTTTTAGGGTGCACCTGAAGTACCATCTGGAAAACCCACTTGGACCACACATTTCATGATGTTCTCCTTTAACACCAACAATCATGTTGTCTTAAGCTTCTCCTTGTTATTATTTCCTTTATTAAAAAAACAATCATGACTTATTATTAACTTGATAACGCTCTGTGCTAAATGACTTAAAAAAAACATTATCGTATAGTGAAATTAAAATTATACATCTCGAAATTAGGTCTTATATATATATACGAGGTAGACTGGTTTTCAACATTGAGACAGTTTAAGAGGCAATAATCATACTATTCTAAGCAAGAAAAAGGTTGGTCTAAGTTTATTTAAATATCTTATTCTTATAAATATTTGATACTTAAACAAAAACAAACATAACCCATACAAAAGTTGAAACCCTTGGTCAAAACAAAGTAGCAATAGTAGTACTCGTGCGGTTTAGTTTCTTTTTTCTTTATTCCATACATTGTATACTCACCTTCTAACATTTATGATAACACTTCTTCCTAAAGTTTCTTATATGCTTTTTATACTGTTATCAATTTTAAGTATTTACTACCTGTTTATACTACCCGTTTGTCTAAATTTATGAAAGCCTTTCAAATTTCTATAGTTGTCTTGATAGCCAGAGGTTCTTTTGTGTAAATTCAATTGCTATGTTGTGTGCCATTTGATCCCTAACTTTACCTACTTCTCTACTGTTTATTTCACTTGGCACACAATTACCATCGTCTATAATATGTGCGAGATTCAGATATTCCCTTTAAAGTTAAATGTTTACTTGTCCCTATTGTCCATCCCAGTTGGGAACACAATTAAATAGTGCGCTACCTGTGCAAGAGTAATTTATCAACTTGTTTTAAAAATATAGAAGGATCAAATGTAAGTCACGCGCAGAGTATATCCCTTTCTTTTTAAAGATATAGAAAAGAGAAAAAACAACTGGCTGCGCCTTGTATGTCTTCGTGGTTACTCAATTGATTCAACTGTGCCCATATTTGTAACTCGCAGTGTTATTTTACCGCAGCATTTTTCTTTTTGTAACTCTTTACCACTTTGATAACCGGTACCCTTCTTTTAATTTGTCTCTGATTTTCTATTTGACCTTACTTACTGTTATGTCAGCCTCAGAACTACCATATGAAATCCTTTCGAAAATTGCCGATCTCCTTTTGACGGGTGACAGGTTTTCCTGTGTTCTTACTTGTAGAAGATGGAGATATCCGTTTCAAGAGGCTCTGTGGAGAAACATGCATGTCAATTCCATGAAAAATCTTGAAACTATATGCAATGCAATCGAAGGCTCCAGAACCAAGTCTTCGTCATACGGGCTATTAACACAAAGCCTGCGTATGGATGGATACTGCACTATTCCACATTGGCAGCAACATGCATTTTTTCGATCCATACCAAACTTAAGGCATCTTGATCTCGGACGTACACGTTACCAAGAGATGAACACACATATGATAAGACTGAACAATCCATGGAAATCGTTAGAAAGTCTGAGAGTTGAGGTCCATGGCAGTAAAAGGGCCGTCGACACCAAATCCTTTGTTGAACGCCAACTCTTTTTCTTTCCAATCCAAATGTACTCCAACATTTGGAAACATTCGAGTTTCTTACTGCAGCCATGTCACAATGGTCCCATATTGTTTTCTGGGAATTTCTTTGTCCATTACAAATTCCTATCAAGTATTTAATGTACAAGACAAAATACAGTAAATGCGATAAAGACTCTCTGGAGATGGTTATGAAGCGATTCATGCAATGCTTTTTGGAAACACTCAGTTCACTCTCTGTTAAGGGCCGCGTAGGTTTCAGTATGAGGTACACTGCCGTACCGGACTTCTTTTCTTATTGTCCAGTGTGTTTGTTAAACTGGACAATATGCTGGGCAGCTGTGTAGCTCTTACGCAGCTAAAAATAAGGGTTGGTCAGCTGTGGATTAATTTAGACAGAATATACCAAGGACGAGAGCAACATGAGCAGCAGTATCACCAGCAGCGGCAAGAACAAAAGCACGGATTTCGGGCTTTGGAGCTACAGTCGGTCGTTGCAAGTGCAGATGTATTTCATTATATATATTTCAGGTGCAGACGTCTAAAATATAAGAGCTTGGATGGTTGTAGTATCAGTGGTTCTATCTCTGAAAAGACCGGATGCCTACTTGTAGACATGTCCTATACTTTTTTTAAGTACTACAACTCAAAAAAGTGCAATTTCACTCATTCAAATATTTTCAAAGTTTAGAAACTTGTATCAACTTTCTACTCTTGTCTCAGCTGTGCGCCTCTCTGTTATCAAATGAAAAAGAAGATACAAAAAAAAGAAGTTGATTCAAGATCCTCTCTAGAAAAACATTATCTTCATCAATGTCATCATATAGTTTGGGTCCAAATCTTTAATGACTTGTGGAGAGAAATGGGGGAAAGAGAAACAACTGTCAAACTACTTTCTGAAATAGAAATTCGCACTGTACTCAAATACTATCAATATATCCCGTCAAAAAGAAACCCGAAAGAGTCAGATTTTGCTCAGCTCGCAAAGACAATTGGGCAGACGATCTTTGGAGAGGTTATGTCGAGTTTAGATATCGCAACGCAGCCGACTGTATTGTTTATGAGCTTAAACCAAGTAACCAAGGATTTCAAAAAAAATCTATATAGTAGACCTTTCTAATATATATGTATATCTTGCTAAATAAATATATATTTTCTTGTTTATGTGTACAGTATTAAAGAACAAGATTTGCTTATATAAATAGATGCCTGTAATATTATTGCGGCTGGTATGAATTGATATTACTTAAAGGAAACCATCTCGGCTTAGACCAAAGTCTATATCAAGTAAGGCGTTCTATATTCCGATATACTCGGTTTTCTCTTTTTTCTTGTGTGACTTTATTTTGGTTTTATTTGTATAAAAAAACATGAAGCATAGAGAACAGAAAACATAGAGAAGTAGGCATGTAAATATAATTACGTAAATAAGTAAAAAATAAAAGCATAAAGAATAGTATAAAATAATTAGCATAATTTACATAAATTTTGCCCACAAAGGAGAATGGTAACTGGTCAAAGATATGTATCTTCCTGAATCCAGCACTGGCATAGTTGAAAAGATGTTGTCAATGAGAGTATTCTGGCTTGTTGTTGATTGAATAGTGTTAGGGAGCGTAGTAGTCATATTTCTGTTATTCATAAATTGAAGTAACGTCGTTTTCTTGATCGATTCTTTCGTGAAATCAACATTAAAGTCACCAGCAATGGTTATATGCATATACGTATGACTAACAACAAATTCTAGTGCTTCCATCAAGGTATTTAGTTGGCATAGTGGGGATACATATATGCTGCAATATAAGCTGCTGCTTAATATAAATAATGATATGCTTGTTGATCCACCTGCTTCATCAATGAACATTCTGGAACTGGTTGTATAAACCAAAGAATCGTCGTTTGAGTTGTTCGTACTAGGTAAAAGAGAGCTACGAATATAGCAGCAAGAACCAGAAACTCGTGCATTGGTTGAATGGCTATCTATGCGAGATATCATGGTGAAGTTTGGAATATCATATTCTTCATTATTAGGCAGTGTCCAAGTTTCATTGCAAAGAATAATATCAGATGTTAAGTATACTTGATCGCTGGTTATCTGGTTTATATGTGCCCTCAAGCTTTGCACATTATGTGAAATTAGCTGTATATAATCACTTATTTCTTCCTTTTGTAGTTGGCTAAATGATAATCCCAACTGTATTGTCTGCTGTCTAATGAGCTCATTTTTCAATTGATTGTTTCGATCTTCTGCTATTGGTCCGGGCGGAACAAATCTGTTACCCTTGCATATTAGCTTTAAACCTTCTGCAGAAGTAGCTCTAGAACATGCAACATATAGGAGTGATCGAGACATTCTGTGTGATCCATGGTCAAATACAACAACTGATTTATATGTGCCTCCCTGTGACTTGTGTACAGTGAGTGCTTCAGCTGGAACAATTGGGAATTGTGTACGGGTTAGATGTATCTGACTTTTGATATTTCTGCGAATTATGTTACAGTGTGGTTCTATCATTGTCAGATCGTCTGAAATCCCAAGACTACATCGAATTCTTTGTTGCTGTCTCCTCAACTGCTTCCCACTTCTTTCATCATCAAACCTAATCCACAATCTTAATGGCTTTCTTAAAACTGTAGAAGTAGATGTTTCAGAGGCAGTGCTGTCTGGTACAATATTTTGGCCATAATCAATCCTCTCCAAGATTCCAGTTGCACAATTGACAAGTCCATCCGCTGTATCTAGGTTTGCAGTCATCATATATTTTCCACTTATTTTTAGCAAAAGCGTTTTTATCAGACCCTGAACATCGGATTGCTTTGCATGATCATCGGCAGAATGTATGAGTCTTTGAATAGCAGTGCTATCCCTGCAATGTCCAGTTACTCGGTCAAAGGATTTGGAGATTGCACCTTCAGTATTCAAGCTGGTAAGTATGTGTTGGTTTGTTTGCTGAACGTATGCATTTGTGTTAAACAGATATATCGGCTTTTGGTTACTGCTTTCAGATAAATTGTTTTCTTGAGCTACAAGGCTTGATGGTAATGTTCTTCTGCCAGTACTAATTTCCATTGCATCTTCAGGAGTTATTGAAGCCACTCGACTTTGGATGATATGAATATCGCCTTCAGTCATTGACCCAATTGCCATGTTGTTTAAGGCTACTGCAAATGGAACATCGTCTCTTTGTCGCATTATCTCCGTTAATTTATGAACTTTAAACAAATCCCAGATCTTGTACCCAAATAAGGATACAAATGGATTTGTATCTCTTGCATGGCTGGTGCTGTAAAGTTGTGTGTCCCCAACTGGTGGAAGTTGTAGGAAGTCACCAAATACAATAACTGATTTTCCACCAAAAGGAACTGATCTATCAAAAATATCTCGAAGTCTTCGATCAACCCATCCAAATAGTGTCTCTCCTACCATACTGATTTCGTCAATAATAACCACTTTCAGGTTTGCAAGTGCAACACCCATTGAATGGGAGACGTCAGATGAGAGTGAGGAAAGACCTTCTCTTCCACGTTGTGTGACAGGAAGATGGAAGGCATTGTGCAAAGTTTGAGCAGATATGTTGAAAGCAGCCTTTCCCGTTGGAGCACAAAGAAGTACGGATGGTGTGCTCATATCTCTTTCTCTTGTTTTGTCAAACTCACGGACAAGACTTTAATAAAGTGCTTTTATCAATAGACTTTTTCCAGTGCCGGCTCCTCCCGTTACAAAATGATAAAACGGTGTATGTTGTTGATCAGATATAGAGCTGTTGCTGTTACGAATATGATCAGTAACATGGTACAAGTATTGTCTCTGCTGCAAGTTCAGCATTGATAAAAGCTCTTGATATTCAGTATTATTTAACCACTTTGGAATATTGATTTTTTCAAGGTAGGTTAATCGATTGTTCTGTGTAGCTCCATTTGGATTTAATTCGATTGTTAAATCTGTTGTTCTGTGATACTCTCCTTCTTCATTGTCATCAATATCTAGCGTGTAACGTCTGAAATCGTTTTCAGCAATAGGTGGGGCTAGGGTATCTGTGTTTCCAATGGGTTCATCTTCTCTTTCTGTATCCATGTTACTACGTTCAAGTGAAGCCATTTCAAAATAACCTTCTAGTACATCATCGTTAACCTGACAAAATTCTTTTTTTGCTAGCAGAATAGTCTCAGAATTCTCTAGAAAAACTTCCTCGCAGTTGATACTTAAAAGGTCTTCTTCTTCATTTCTCCAACTTTTGAACAGCATCAATAAGCAACGAAAGTACTCGTCAGCATCTTGATCAATATTAAACTTGTAGTAACGTAGGACACGCGGCTTAGTTCTTTTTCTAATGTAGCCTTGGTTTTCCAAAAGACAATACACTTGGCCTGGCTCTCCATAAAGCGTGTTTTCGTTATTATTCTGTTGAATATGGTCTTCTTGGTCTTCTATGGGCTCATAATAAGTATCATTATTTATGTCATTGTGATCGATATAATTAGTTGCAGTATTTCTTGATGGTTGCTTTTTTGAAAACTCAAAATAAGCAGCAAACTGTGCCAAGGTCAAATTCTCCAAATCTTGGGGCCTACAAATGTAATGCTCAATTAATCCTGGTTCAAAGCAGCTGGTAGAATCGGGATCCATTGCTACAAGTTCAGACTGCTTCTTTAATATGTGGAGTCGGTTTTCTGGTCTGCTTGTTGGTATAAATACTGTAGCTGTGCTCGCTTCTGACATTCGAATTCGTAGTAAGTTGTATGCTGCTTCTTGAGCAGATATCTCACTAGCATTGTAATAGGTCGCAGCAAGTGACCTCATCATATTAAAAGGTGTCGAGCTACTGTCATCTTTGTGCTTATTGTAAATTTCTTCAAGCGTCTTACTTAAGCCTCTATCAGCCTTGTTTATATAGTCAACTACATATGCGCAGCAAGCATATGGATCGAGAATGAATTGAATATCCATATTTGATCTGAACATACTGAAAATTTTTTCGTTATAATTATTTATCATGACTTCGTTCGGTTGTCGTTTTATCATGATTTTGTTCATTTTAAGAGTATTGCGGATAGACAGTATGTATTCATCAATAGATGTGATATCAACAGCTATTAAGAAACCATCAAAACTCATGGCTGACGTTTGAAGAGCTTCATAATGTTCTTGGAGATATCCTTTGATGCGAGTCATATTTTGCTTTAATTTGGTAATCGTAGTTTCTGATAGACCTTCGTTTTCAGTTATTGGGCATAATATCCGAGTTCTGTCCATAGGATAAAATGGAATATTAAATCTGCAAATTGTAATATTGTTTCTTTTTCTTTGGCAAGTAGATGTGTGCATATGACATTGCCTTTTCAGCAATTCTTTCCAGGTGTCCTCGTTACAGCGATATTCCTGTTGATGATGCGGTATTTCACCCCATTGTCTCTTACAAGTAATCATACTATCAACAAATTCACAGATTTTTCTTTTCATATCCTCATGAACAGATTCGTCTGTCCGTTGGTCAGGTTCGTACTTTGGAGCGCCCTCAAGCCATACAAGCATATGAACATGAGGCGAGCCTCTATGCTGGAATTCTATTCGGAAGTAATATTCATTAATGGAATGATTTCCAAAAGGCCCATATGGTGCTTTCCATGTTTTCTTCAGCTGTCTAAATCGATAGTCAAAGTATCGTGCACATGTTATTGGGTCTTGCTGAATCAGTTTGGCTTTTTCATCATATGTCATTTGCTCCGCCTGTTCTTCTGTAATAGCAACTCCATCAGTTACAAGTTTTAAAATGCATAATAGCTCAGGCCAACTTGCTTCTGCTGCAGATAGAGTTACAAAAATTGTTGGGATACCAAATTGTCTAACCATTGCCAAAGGATTTTTCTTCTCGTTTTTCCAATATTCTGCAGTAGAACGGATACCACTAAATGTCTTATAAGCCTGGTCTTTACTGAGTAATCCATCAATACTGTCATTATTTAAGAAGTCGGATGCAACGTATGGTACATTGTTGGAGAGTTTTGTTTTCTTCCGGAGAACTGTATTTAGGTTATTGTACATTCTGACTATTTGATTTTTTCTGTCCATATACAGTATATACTCTACTCTTTGTGCTGCTCTACGATCGAATCTCCTTGCAATGGACTTTGTCAGGAAAGAGTAAGTCAGAGTATCAGTAGATAATCGCTGGCCACAGAAGATTTGAGGAAAAGCCAAAAAGTCGCTGTCTTTATCAGTCAAAATAGACAAAGGGATTCTTTCATCTCCAGGCGAAAGTCTGAGAGCTTCGTGATCTGAAACTATAGCCGTTTCCTGCTCACTAGAGTTTATTGATTCGTGTTCGGTACTACTTTCTTCATTTCCTTCAAAGTCTTCAACCCTATCAACCTCTTCTACGTTTTCAGTATCATTATTGGCAACCTCTTGTACCCAATTATCACTCAAGGAGATATTATACTCTTGATAGAGTGTTGTTGACTGTAGAAATAGTGCTGCTCTCCAAACTTTAGCGAGACTTATATTTCCTCTGATATAGTCTTTGATATAACGCATCCTACGAGCTAAACTCAAGTGAATTGTATTTGAGTCGTCAAGATTACGAGGAAGTAATGAAACCGTTGTATCAACATTAACAGGTACGTTGATAATACCGCCTTTACTTCTATACTGCCCAGTTAGTCCTTTGTGTGTCCATATAGACTGGAAAACGTGTCGAGGTGCAACAAGTCTTTCTTCTAATCTTGTCAGGTCGTCTAGACAAACGACATGATCAGGAAAGTGGAGACCATTAGAGAGAGCAAGAGTTGGAAGTGTTTTTTTCTTAAGTGATGTTTTACAGGTAGGACATAGTGGAATATTGTCTATAATATCTTCACCAACGAAAGTGCTTGGTATCTTATGATTGTCAATTGCCCAAAAGGTTTTCTCAACAATATCTTGTGAACAACCCCAATTGCCTGTAAGAGCGGTTCTTTTTACTGAAGATATATCTTTTTGAAAGAAAAGGCCTCCACAACATCCGCATACGCATGTAGGACCCTCTCTGATTGTTGATTCATACTTTCTTTGTATACTACTCCAATTATTTGTGCCAACGTCATTCAGTCTACGCCTTCTTACTACTCGCTCATTCTCTTCAATAGCTCTACTTTGTCTACTACGCCTATACTCGCGCATATATTCTGCTCGAGAATTATGGTTCTCCTCTTCTGTCTCTGCCGCTTCTGTCTCCACTACTTCTGTTCCTACTACTTCTGCTTCCACTGCTTCTGCCCGAACTACTTCTATTTCAGCTGTAAGTCTGCGTCTGCGTCGATACTCCCGCATATACTCGCGCATATATTCTGCTCGAGAATTATGGTTCTCCTCTTCTGTCTCTGCCGCTTCTGTCTCCACTACTTCTGTTCCCACTACTTCTGTTCCCACTACTTCTGCTTGAATTACTTGTGCTCTCACTACTTCTGCCTGAACTACTTCTATTTCAGCCGTAAGTCGGCATCTGCGTCGATACTCCTGCATATACTCTGCACGAGAATTACTAATATTCTCTGCTTCTACTGTCTCAACTACTTCTATTTCAGTTATTTGTTGGCGCCTGCGTTGATATTCTCGCATATATTCTGCACGAGAAGTATTAATATTCTCTGCTTCTACTGTTGCTATCACTTCCATTTCTGCAGTTCGCAGGCGATTCCGCCGATACTCTCGCATATACTCTGCTTGAGACATTGAATTCCGTTGTTGTGTTTCTGTTTCTGATGTTTCCACTTGCAATGATTGCCGACGATTACGCTGGTATTCTCTCATGTATCTTCGTCTTCTTTCAGCCCTTTCTTCAGGGGTAACAGTGTGTCTAGGCATTTTGTACTTTATAATAATATAATATAAGAGTAAAAGTAAGAGCAAGAAGAAAGTATAATATGCTTAGTAAGCTATAAAGAAGAATCAAAAGCGTCACGTGGTTAAAGTGTTTACATTTTTACTAGTAAAATTCTTACAAACTTTCACTGCTTAAAATTGGAACAAACTCCGCATACAAAATTGTTACAAAATCATTGTTTACATTGTTACGGATTACCCCTTTTTCTTAGGCTTTCTAACTCCGTAAACTCCATATAGAACGCCAAAAAAGAGAGTTGGTGTGGAACTTCATAATAGGAGCACAGTAATACTTAGGGTTACCGAAATTACATATCCACATCAAATGATCATTAGAATTTCCATATTTTGCTAAAGCAAAAGCAAAAGCAAAAGAAATACCGTCTTTAAAATATTTCGTCTTAATTTGCCTATTTTTACTTAACCAACACATTTCTGAAAGCATATATATTAGATAGATTTAATACTGTGTGTGTCTCAATGTAAAAGATTAGATGATATATAAATACTTTATATATAAGCAAGTGTACAATAATAAATATAATTGGGAGATTTGAAATCAGAACAGAACGGAAAGGCAAAAAGACAGCCGTTTTGCGAGGAATATCCATCAAGAATATGCTCTCTAGGCAAAACAGTAAGTCTTTTTACTCTATCAAAGCTTCTTATAAAGATAGCTTGGTCTTCTTGTTACAAAGAAAAATGTATCTATTCCAAGCAAATGAATGGTACTGCTAGGTTCAACTAATTTATATCACATGTATGTATATTAAAGTTTCTCCTTTAAGTTACAGCTATTACTACAGCTCTAGCATTATTTTATATTTAAGGAGGTCAATATGCTTAGAATCTTTTTGAATTCGTCATTTGGATCAAATTTCTTTTTCAAAAAAAAAGGTACGATTATTTTTGTCAAAATACCGAAATTATGCATACAAAATTAACTACGGATAAGAATTGGACAAGCTAATGTACTCTACTGCTATAAGTAGTATGATGAGGCATATCACTATCCATGCGCTTAAAGTTGTTTTATTATGATTGATTGTGCATTGACAAAAATATCCAAAACTTTCACCCTGAAAAACTATAGTTATTGAAGATTTGTCTATTTGCACCAAAAGTCCATTTTCGATACCCACTTTCACTCAGACGAACATCAAGAAAATGGCCGGAAAATTTTCTATTTACTATCTTAAGTAAAGTTGTGTAGAAAGTAAATATAGTCTGGCTGATAGTTGTCTGCCCACGAATAGCCTAATATTGAGTGAGATATCGATGTTTCTTAAAATAGCGTAATTTATAAAGAAGTGTATAAAAAAGGCAATATTTCTATATGCACCACATAAGCGATAAAAGTTGCTTACATTCGGACATTGAGATATGTGTGCCCAAATTGATCTTATAAGTATGTCAGGTTTTGTTACCATTCCATCACAGGATATATCAAGATAATAATAGTGTCTGTATAGAATAAATAGCAATTGGCTTTGATTCTTGATTAATTATATACCACCACAGTAATTGCTCGGATTGTCAGGCTGAATTCAGAATGCTTGTGAGGAAGGACTTCCATATAAATATAATTTCTTTCTCTATGGGAAATGCGTAGTGATTCCGATGGGAATTTTGGAAACCTCCTATAGGGATTTTCCAAAATCGCCACTTCTTTTCCATAGTAGTGCTTAATAAGTGCGGTCTTTGTTCTTTTAAAAGATTCGTATTTTTATTGTTACGTTTGCAAATACCAATTGTTAGATAAAAGTAGGGGGGTTTTACTATCGACTTGTTGGAATCTATGGATTATGATGAGCTATGGTATGTATGTATATATATATGTTTTTTTTTGTGTTTCTTGCAACCTTTTTCTATATAATTTATTTCCAATTACATATGGGAAGCAGAAACAAATCACTTTCTTACTTTCTTACTTTGTTTGTTTGTTTGTTTGTTTCTCCTTGTCCTTATTTGAGCAAAAAAATAAGGGCAATACGTTACGCAAATCGAACAAACAAGGTGTCAATCTCTTATGCTCCGTACTACATCGCTTTTTCTTAGATCAAATGAATCAAAGTGATAATATCAACTAAAGGTCAAATACATATACATCTTTATATATATATGTGCCTTTCTAATACAATTTGTATATTCAGATTTAAATATATATATATATATATTATTATATTTGATTGTGAGCAAACAAAGAATCCAAAAACAAACTGACTGCGCCCTGTACGTCTTAATGGTTACTCCAATGATTTAAGTGTACCCGTATTTGTAACTCACTATGAATTTCCCGCAGTTTTCCTCTTCTTCTGCTTCTATGTACTTGTATAAATTCTTATGATCTGTCTATTTGTTTCAACTTGTTTTTATTTAACTTTACCTTTTTATCTATAGCTATAATTATGACAGCGTCAAAACTACCATCCGAGATTCTTTCACAGATTGCTGACCTTCTATTGACAGACGATAAAATTTCGAGTGCCATTACTTGCAAGGCATGGAGATATCCGTTTCAAGATTCTCTCTGGAGAGATATACGTATAAGTTCCATGGAATCCCTACAGCACATCTACAACACCATTAAAACCTCCAAAAATACGCCCACTTTTCACGGTCTATTAGTCCATAGTCTACGGATATGTGGAGACTACCCGGTACCAAATACCCAACAAGATGAATTGCTTAAATTCCTGCCAAATTTAAAGCACCTTGACCTAAGGCATATCAAATACAAAGATATCAACAGAATAATGGCAGAATCGAATGATACATGGAAGTCCCTAGAGAGTCTAATAATTCAAGACATTACAACTACAGAACCAGAAGTAGCTACAGACTTTATTGAATCTTTAAAGACATGCCGCATGCTCAGAAATTTAGAGTTTTTTACGCTGAAACGAAATGATCCAATCCTGTTTAATATGAATCACTTTGAAAACCTGCATCAAAACTTACAACTCCTGTCGTCCATCAAAGCCCATTTGGCTCTCAATGAAGACATTTCATCTACACTAGGCACGATTCCAGATACAACACCAGTATTATCCTTGACCAGTCTCGATATAAAATTGGGTCAATGGGACCCTCTCTGGCTGTACTATTTTAGCTACAAATATCCAAACTTGCATTCATTCAAATTGGATGTTTCGGATATGTTTCCAGGGTGGATACATTATGATCAGATGCAAGTAATTATCTCACACTTCCAATCCAACCCAAACGCGCTCCGGCACCTGGAATCATTCGAATTCATAACGAAGGCCATTGCAGAGTGGACTCATCTTGTTTTCTGGGAATTCATTTGTCCATTAAGAGTTCCAGTCAAGAACCTAAAGTACAAAGCACAACGCAACAACGGTGATGTACAGCTGTACGCGATGACTTTAAAAAGATTTCTGCAGTCCTTTTCGGAAACACTCGAGACTCTTTCCGTTGACGGAAGTGCATTCTTTGATATAAAGCGAAGTCCGACACTTTATCTCTCCTCTCACTCTCCGTTTTTGAAGGATCTTCATATCGAGTCTTGTGGCGTGTCGCTCAATCTAGACAGCGTATTGAACAACTGTACAGCCTTGAAGCGCTTGAGGTATTTCGGCGGGCAGTTATTGAATAATTCCAACACGACAAATCAAGATACAGAAGAACGCCAAAATCATGGCTTACAGATATTGGAGCTGCGCCAGGTTGTTACAAGCGCTTCCGTACTTGGTAATATATCTTACAGGTGTAGACGTCTACAATATATGAACTTGAGCTCTTTGTCGATCAGTGGATTTATCTCAGAAATATCCGGGCATTTGCTCCTCGATATGCGCCACACTTTTTTCAAGGTGCTACATCTCGCCCAAATCAAATACTACTCATCTTACAAACACGATGTAAAACCCGCTATTAGTATGACACTTTTGTCGCAAGTAAATTATCCCTCTCGATCAGATAAAAGGAACGAAGAAAATTACGAAGAAGCCGATTCGAAATCTCCTATAATATCCTATCACAAAATTGCTTGGTTTCACACTTTTCTTGACATTGAATGCAAAAAATATACCAGGATAGGCATCATACAACTCTCCGAACAGGAATCCAGTGCCGCAATGGAATACTATCAAAACTTTAAATCCAGAAAAGATAGTAATACAATAGAAGATGACCCTGAGAAAGGTTGGAAAGGTGATCTTTGTAGAGGTTATGGTGAAATAAGATGTGGTCATGTAGAAAAGTATACTATTCCTGAACTTTCAACAAATGACAAAGACTTTTGGGAAAACCTGTACAATAAACTATTTTAAAAAGGAAAAGAAATAATAAACGATCTTGTATAAAGCCATTCTATGTACTTTTGATAGAGGATTATAGACATTGGGAGTGAGGAGAATTATGTATTAAAAAAAATAAGCTTTTGATACTAATGTGAAGCCGAATTTGTATTCATTTGGATCAATAAATGGCACAAAATGGTTAATATTTATATGCACTAATGAGTATATAGAAAAATAGTGCCTGAGATAGTCTGTTACAGGTCAAATAATGTAATATTCCAAAGGCTTGATGGCATAAAAATCTATCATATAGTTAATGGGAATAAGAAGAATTAGATAAAGAGGATTCTATACTAACATTTGCTGGAATTATTCATATAATGAATTCTCTTTGGGTTTTAAAGAAAGTGATGCTTGTAATTTTACAGAATATTTGAAGCACAAAGTATCGAATTATAAATACTGAATAAATCATTTAGAAACCGCACAATCTAACTGAGATGAGATAAAGTGGAATATCTTCAATTGGCAGACTAGAATATGAAAGCTTATATTATATACCAGCGAAACACATATAAGAAGTTCCTAATTAATCACAGAAATAAGTACTTGGCGAAACATGGATATAGTTGTTCAGTTCATAAAAATGAAACGATTTGACCTATTGACTTTATTTTCTACTCGGTGAGATAATCTGAATAGCACTATTTAATCAATAGACATTTCTGTCGGTATTGTTGTTCTGGATTTGATGTTCAATCAGCAGGTCTATAGCCTTTTTGCTAACAATTCTTGGCGTATTTCTCTTAATGTGTTCTGTGTTCCTTATAGCCTTCAGTTTTATAATTCATCCATTGTTACACCCAGAAAGCAGAAACTAATCTTCTTGGGTGTCTGTTATTCCTTTCAAGATTACCAAATTAGCCTTCTTTTATTCTCTTTCGTTTTTTTTGTCCTCCCATAAAAAAAGAGGGGATGTGTTACAAAAGCCAAGCAAATTAGGCTTCAGCCTCATATGCTCCGTAGCACACCACTTTAATAAAAGCCAAACTCCCAAAAAAATATCTACCTGATAATAACAACTGGACCCAAAGTATATATATATATATATATATATATATATATATATATATTGTAGACACCGTTTGTAAATACAAGCTTTCTATTTTGGCATATACATCGCATTATTTGTGTGTAAAGATTTAGCCAAGCCTTCTATAACTTGGCTTACTCCAATGATTCAATTGTACCAATAGTTGTAGCCAGCTATATCAGTTGTTCAAAATAGCTATTCTTGTTGTTGTTTAGGCTTTATATAAAAAACACTAATATATACTCCAAGCTATTATGTATATAAATTAATTAAAAAGAAAACTATTTCTTTTGGTCTTCAATTATTACCAATATGATGCCACCAAATATACCACCTGAAATTCTTTCACAAATTGCTGATAATCTATCGACAGAAGATAGGCTTTCTGGCTCTGTTACTTGCAAGGCATGGAGATATCCGTTTCAAGATTCTCTCTGGAGAGACATACAGATCGATTCCACGGCAGCTCTCGAACAACTATACAACAGCATTAAATCCTCCACAAACACGTTTACACCACACGGTTTTATGGTGCACAGTCTACGCTTAATTAGTTACTACAAAATACCCGATGAGCAGCAGGATGCCTTCTTTAGCTATCTACCAAACCTGAAGTATCTTGATCTTGAAAATCTGTCTTGTAGAGACATCAATCTAGAGATGGCAAAATCAAGCAAGACGTGGGTGTCTCTGAAAAGCCTGATAATAGAATACAACGGAAGTCGAGGATGGCCAACTACGAATGATCTCATCAGCCTCCTAGAGACATGCCCTATGCTCAAGAAACTCGAATTCTCGACAAATTCATTAAGAAATGCAAGCAGTTTTGGGTTAAGAGAATTTGACAGTATACACCAAACGTTACAACAACTTTCGCACTTCAAAGCTTATTTATATTTTGAACCTGAAATTCAATCTACGCTAGACATAATCACAAATACTCTACCAGCAACCACCATGACAGCCCTCGATATATGGTTTTTTCAGCTGTCCCACGACTGGCTGTACTATTTTACCTACAAATATCCAAACTTGCAGTCTCTGAGATTGGATACTTCAGAGTTATATCAAAGGTGGACAGATCATACCCGGACGCAAAGAGTCACTTATCAGTATCCTCCCCACTCAAAGGGATTCCAGCGCCTGGAAACCCTTGAACTCGTATCGCCAAACATCTCAGAATGGACTCACCTTGTTTTCTGGGAATTCATTTATCCATTAAAAGCTCCTATCAAGAACTTGAAGTACAAGGCAGTATGCGACCACGACGATTCATGGTTGGATGCCCAGCTGTATGCAACGGATATTAAGAGAATTCTACAATCTTTTTCAGAAACACTCGAGACTCTTTCCATCGAAGGAACAGTATTTTTCGATATTAAGCATGGTCCAGCACTTGAACTATCTTCTTACGCTCCATTCTTGATGGACCTTCATATCAAGTCTTGTGGTATATCAATTAACCTGGACAACTTATTGGACAACTGCATATCCCTAAAACGCTTAAGATATACTGGTGGGCAGCTGTTGATTAATTCCGGCACAACAGATCAAGATACAAAAGAACAACATCAAAACCAAGGACAGCATCGTAGATTGCGAATTCTGGAATTACAACGGGTTGTCACAAGCGTGGAAACTTTTAGTCGCCTTTCTTTCAGGTGCAGACATCTGAAATATATGAACTTGAGCTCTTTGTTGATTAGTGGATCAATTTCAAAGAAAACCGGTCGCTTGCTTCTCGATATGCCATATACTTTTTTCAAGGCAGTGCGCTTAGCCCATATCAGATATCGTTCACCTTACAAGAGAATATATGGCAACACTATTATCAGTATAACACTCCTGTCTCAATTGAGCGATCCTCTGTCACAATTACCATTATCACCTACAATATCAGATAAAGCAATTCAAAGCGAGCAGGAAAAAGGAGATCCAGAATCTCTTGCTGTAGTAACCCATAAAAATATCGCTTGGTTCCACACATTTCTTAATGTTGTATTTGAAACGGATACCAGAATAGGCATCAGGCAGCTTTCAGAACAAGAAGCCATCACTGCAGTTGAATACTATGAAAACTTTCAGTCCAATACAAATGGTAAAACGATAAGATTAGGGAAGGCATTGGATGGGAATAACCCCAAGAAAGATTGGGAAAACCATCTTTGTAGAGGTTATGGAGAATTGAGGTGTGGCCAGGTAGAGAAGTATATTCTTCCCAGTCAATCAAAGCATGATAGATACTTCTGGGATTTGTTGTATGAAAATGTCTTTTTATAAAAAAAAATAAAGTATTAAAGAGAAAATTCACCATAAACAGATATGTGTGTGTGTGTGATAGGGAAAGATATATATTGTTGGTTTATGCTTATCAACTTCTTATAACCCACTGTACAAGTTAATTCACCGCTTTTCTCTTCTCTTCTCTTCTTTTCTTTCCTTTCTTTCCTTTTAAATACTCTCAACCCTACATTTTTACAATTGTTTCTACTAATAAATATGTTGGCATCTCAACTTCCACTTGATATTATCTTGCAAATCGCCGATCTTCTATTGACAAAGGACAAGTGTTCTTGTTCTCTTACTTGCAAGCAATGGAGAGACCCATTCCAAAAGTTACTTGTTAAAAACATACATGTCGATTCCATTAAGCATCTAAAAACCATTTGCAATACCAATGCAACCTCAAAAACCAAATCCAGATCCTGTGGTCATTTAGTGCATGGTCTACGTATAGGTGGTTGTTTCATTTTACCGAATGTGAAGCAAGATGTCTTTTTTCGATCACTGCCAAACTTGAAACATCTTAATCTTGGGAACATGCGTTTTCAAGATATCAACACAAAGATGACACAATCTAACAATACATGGATGTCGCTAGAAAGCCTAAAAATCAAAATTAACAATAATGAAGGACTACAAGGAGCGCCAGACCTCATTAAATTCTTAAAGACCAGTCGTGTGCTCGAAAAGTTAGAGATATTTACGAAGGACCGAGAAGTTATAATCACCTTTACTGAAAATGACTTTGAAAATCTGCACCAAAATCTACAACATCTTTCGTCGATCAAGGCTTGTATTTCTCTCAATTTCTGTGCGTCAGCTTCACAGAACACAATTCCAGAAATTACACCCGCGCTTGCTTTAACGACCCTTTACTTAAGGCTGGATGAGTGGGATCCTTTATTTCTATATTATTTTGGATTCAAATATCCAAACCTGCATTCCTTGAGATTGGATTTCTCGATTTCAAATTATATGTGTGTAGATTCTGGTACATTGCAAAGAATCACGCCTCTTTTTGACTCCAACCCCAAAGCACTCAAATATCTTGAAACATTTGAACTCATAACGAGAGACGCTTCAGAAAGTGCTCATATGGATATATGGCAATTTTTTACTTCAACTAAAGTCCCTATCAAGAATTTTAAGTACAAGACAGTATACGGCGACAGTGCTTCGCGTGATTATAAAGTGCTTATTGAACGGATACTACGGGCGTTTCCGAAAACACTAGAGACGTTATCAATCCTTGGAAGAGCAAGTTGTGGCAGTAGATCTACTAAAATGCTGGAAATATCTCTCTGCCCGTTATTAGTGGATCTTGAAATCAATGAATGTAGTGTGTGCGTTGACCTTAACAATCTATTAGACAGCTGCATTGCCCTCAGGCGACTGAAACTTCACTCTGACAAGCTGTCTATTACCTCAGGTACAGATAACCGAGAACCAAAGCAATACCAAGGACGGCAGCAGCATGGATTGCATGTATTGGAGCTACATGGGGTTGGCACAAGTACGTCCGTATTTAATTGCCTCTCCTTCAGATGCAGAGACCTAGAATATATGAAATTGTGCTATGTGTCTATCGATGGGACTATTTCTGAAGAAACTGGGCGCTTGCTCGTTGATATGCCCTACACTTTTTTCAAAATGCTACTTCTCTGTGATGTTTCCTACTGTTCATCTGACGGCCATGGGAATGATAAAACGATTATTACTATATTTCTTTTGTCTCGGTTAAACAATCCTCTACAATCGAATGAAGAAAGAAGAAAAGATGAAAGGGAGTTGGAATCTACTACAGTAGAATATCATAATCAGCATGACATAGCTTGGTTTCACACCTTTACTGATGGTGTATATGATTGGGACAATGACACGGGTATCGTACAACTCTGTAAGCAACAAGTTAGTACCGCTGTCAATTTCTTTCAAGGCTTCCGGTCTAATAGAGTTCCCAGAGCATCGATCTTTGATTCATGGGGAGGTTATATAGAAGAAGGCTGGGATGCTGATCTTCGTAATGGGTATGCTGAATTTAGATGTGGAAACGTAGAAAAGTATAGTATTTATGGTGTTATTTCAGATGACCAAGACAATTGGGATAAGTTGCACAGTGGTTTTCCTTAAAATTAAATACTAAATAAAAAAAGGTAAACTTAAAAAAAAAAAAGATTTATTGTCTATATGTATATGTGTATATTCAAGGATAAACAACAAATAGTTGTTACTTGCTTTGTTTTATCAATAGCCAAAGAAACAGAATATATTATAGTTGGAGTTTCTCCATGTTTTATAGACAACGCTTGACTTTCTTTGAGAAATAGTTGTTTTATTTAATATCATAAAACTATGTGTACACTATATTACAATTGTGAAATTTTGGTTCTTATATGGTCTTTAGGAAATATGTATGTTGATTTGCTATACTACTTGATAATCCAATAATTGACATATAAGAAATTCGAGAAAATGGTTAAAAGTGACAATTAGAAACTATATCTTACGCCCCACTCCCATAAGAATAGTGCTTGAGAGACAAAGTCATATACCCATATATTTTCTGGTTAGTAATTGACTGTGCCTTTTATTAAAATACACGGCTACTCTGGCCATGAATATGTGCCTGGATTCAAAACTAACCGTGTAAGTTAAACCCAGAGTTTTATTTTCTTTATTTTTCTTTTCTTTTTTTAATTTATCACGACCCCCTCTTTTCACTACTGCTTATACCCGTAATTACGATTGCATAAAAGCTACTACTCGGTATTCTTTTGCAAATCGCTAATCCTTTAGTGATAAATAATAAGGCTTCTTGAGCCCTTGTTTGCAAGATATGGAGATATTCGTTTCAAGAAACTATTTGAAGAAACGTATATGCCAGTACCAAGTTGGATTTTGAAACTATTCGGGGTATAATTTAGGCCTAAAAAAGCCTCAGACATCCCATAGCTAATCACTATATCATCTACGTATGACTTCATACTGCACCATACCAACCATGCAGCAGGGACAACTTTTTTTTAGATATTTACCAAACCTGAAGCATCTTGCTTTCATACATTTGCGTTACAAGTATATTAACAAAGAGATGTCTAAATCCAATGATACGCGGAGATCACTCCAAAGCCTAAAAAGTCTACCTATTTATGGCGAAGAATCAAAATCTACGGCAGAATTTATTAAACTATTGGCAAATTATTCCAATCTTCAAAAGTTAGAGCTACCTAAAAGCGTGATCATCAACCAGCCGTATTTAGAGTAAAAAAAAAATTGACAGCCTCCATAAGAAACTACAGTACTTTCCGTCTTTCAAAGCTTGGGTAACTCTCAGCAATGACCTGGAGTCGATACAGCGCGCAAAATTAAGTGTTAAATCAGTACTCACGTTTACAACCCTTGAGTTAAGTATGTGGGAGTAGAGAACTGTGTGGATGTACTATTTAGCCCACAATTATCCAAACTTACATTAAATCAGATGGAATACAGCGGATCCAGAGTACTATAAAATATCTCCTGATTTCACGGAGCAGAGTTATTATATTTTGGATTTTAACAAGCCTATCCAAATATTTGGAAACATTTGAATTCATCACTAGAGACGTTCCAGAGAAATATGACAATTTTTTTTGAAATTTATTTGCCCATTAAATACCCTTACCAAAAATTTAAAGTACAAGACAAGATCCAGCAAGATTAATATACTATTTTTTAAAGAGCTTATCAACACGTTTATAGAGACTTTTTTCTGAAACACTCGACCCTTTCAGTCGAAGCAAATAAGCTTTAAAGTAGTCGAATTGATTCAAGATTAGAGATCTTCTCTAATTGTCCAATGCTGGTAAACCCTGAAATCAACTCCTGTGATGTGTCCATTGAGCTGAAAAATATATTAGACAACTGTGTAGCGCTAAAAGAGCTAAGGTTTTTTGACGGGGAATTACTGTTTTACACAAGCATAGAAAATCGAGGCTCAAAGCCAAAAGAACAAGACTATCAAGAGCAAAAGCATGGATTACGGGTTCTGGAGTTAGACAACGTTCTTACAAGTGCTGAAATGTTTAGCCACCTTTCTTTTAGGTGCAGGGGTCTGGAATATATGGAGTTGAAGAGTACAAGTATACAGAGTGTTATTGGTACCTCTGGGAGGATCCCGTTATTGCTTCTTGATATGTCCTACTCTTCCTTTAAGGTTCTAAAACTCTTCGATATTAGGTGCACTTTATCGGAAGACCAACTGTTGGAAAGTCGCTTTATCAAGTTAATACTTTTGTCTCAACTGAAAGACTCTCGATCATCAAATGAAAAGAAAAAATGTACGGATTCAAGTTCTGCTGACATAACACATCCTTTTCGCAATTTAACTTGGTTTAAACTCTTTCATGAAATTGAGGACGACGTGGACACCGACATGAGACTACGTCAACTTCCAGAGCAAGAATCTAGAATTATATCCAAATACTGTCGATCTTCCGACCTCAGAGAAAGTGATAATTTTTTGAAAACCAATACATGGTTGAATGGAGAGCTTTCGCAAGATTTGGAATCCGATATTCAGGATGGTTATGTTGAATTAAGATGTAAAAAAATAGCACGGTGTCATACTTCTTAACATAAACCACATAACTATGATGTCTGGAACAATGTGTACAGTATTTTTTCATAAAAGGAAGTATTAAATAAAAGGAATTATCTCTAAAGACAAATCTATTTTGTGTGTATATTTTTTAAAAGAGAAAAATCAAGGAGTCTTGGCTAGTTGACGTGTTATATTTGCAGTAACAAAGTCCATTTTGGATATTCATGAAGTTTTTAATTTTATTTTCTTCTTTTTTGTCAATAGATGTAGGCGATTCAGATGTCTTTTGACTAGGAAAAATATGTGTACACCTGTGCCTATTTGGCAGAGGGTTATACTGCTAGTACCTTTGAATAGACCATGAGATTTCCTATGTAAGATTCTTATCTAAATTTAGTTAATTTTTATAAAAAAATGAAGTAATACGGGATTTGATCAATGCAGCAACCAACCCAATACTTCTTTGACAATAACAGTCTCCAAGAATATCTTTTTATATGTAAGCTTTAAGAACGTGGACTGATGTATTCTTGTATAAGATTACATTAATTAAAAGAGTCTTGTGTTACCATATTGGCCAAATTAAGAACCTGGTAAATGATACCTTATTTCCAATACTATGAAAAATAGCCCTCACATATACATATCTATATCGTTTATTTGATGTAATTTCTCTTTATAAATAAGTTTCAATTGGTTTTACTTTTGCCATGTCTCAAAGATCTGTCTCTTAGTCAAAAAAAAATTATAATAACCTTCATCAAAAAAAAAACAATTTTCCTTTTCCAGAAGCATATCGTTCTTTTGACCAAACCTTATAGCAAGCTTTCTTTATTGAAGGATACATTATAAAGAGGTTGATATACAGTTTATTTAATATTAAAAGATAAAGAAATTAAAAGGTATTTTGTGTAGAGTGGATGTAGTAAGGGTAAAATAAGGATATTAAGCATACAATTATTTTACCAAGCCTAGCTATTTACTTTTCTGTATATAATGTTTATAATATAAAAAATTTCTGAAAAATATTAAAAACCCACAACTTTTGTAAAGCGGCAAATAAATGCATATATCTAGTGTTTTGGGACATTTATTTTAGTCGACAAGTGCTTGCACCTCTGTCACATATTAAAATTGGAACGATACAGAGAAGATTAGCATGGCCCCTGCACAAGGATGACACTAAACTTCTGAGATGGAACGCTCTACGGAGCATATTTTTTTTTGTTTTGTCACCACTTGATATTATTTTTATTTATTTTATTTTTTATGTCAAATCTTGAAATTACTTATAAAAGGATACCACATTGAGGAATGTCAATCTTACATCATAATGTACACCTTTATTATCCACTAATGCACAATCCTTCTCCCCTTCCTTGTTAAATGCATATCAATCTCTTCTTGCTCCTCATGCTGTAGATGGCTTTTGTTATGCAGTTCCATTAACACAAATCACCACTTCTTTTTTGCTGACAACGTAGCATTCTTTTTGGCTTGGCTTCAAATGTCCAACCCATGTTCAACTTGAGCTGCACAACACTTCTTATCACTCTGGCTGTCGTTTGAAGAACTTTTAAATATGCAGTCATATATACCCACTTTTCACGTTCTCTATACGATACTATTCCTGCTGATGGTGAAATTCATATACTTGGGTGTTCTCCTTCAGAAAGAAAGATGATTTATTTTTCTTTTTGGGTGGTCATTCATTGTTTCTCATTATCGTTATAGCACTCTTGCAACCATGGATACTCTTAATGCAGCTGGAGCTTGTTGATGGGCATTCAACATCTTAAACAGCTATCCTCAAACACACCAAATCGCAAACAAAAGAAAAATCGTAATTCTCTTTAGCTTGATCAACTTCTCCCCTCTTTTCAGCCAGCTCTCAAAATCTACACCACTTATGTGATCACATATTGTTTTAGGGTGCACCTGAAGTACCATCTGGAAAACCCACTTGGACCACACATTTCATGATGTTCTCCTTTAACACCAACAATCATGTTGTCTTAAGCTTCTCCTTGTTATTATTTCCTTTATTAAAAAAACAATCATGACTTATTATTAACTTGATAACGCTCTGTGCTAAATGACTTAAAAAAAACATTATCGTATAGTGAAATTAAAATTATACATCTCGAAATTAGGTCTTATATATATATACGAGGTAGACTGGTTTTCAACATTGAGACAGTTTAAGAGGCAATAATCATACTATTCTAAGCAAGAAAAAGGTTGGTCTAAGTTTATTTAAATATCTTATTCTTATAAATATTTGATACTTAAACAGAAACAAACATAACCCATACAAAAGTTGAAACCCTTGGTCAAAACAAAGTAGCAATAGTAGTACTCGTGCGGTTTAGTTTCTTTTTTCTTTATTCCATACATTGTATACTCACCTTCTAACATTTATGATAACACTTCTTCCTAAAGTTTCTTATATGCTTTTTATACTGTTATCAATTTTAAGTATTTACTACCTGTTTATACTACCCGTTTGTCTAAATTTATGAAAGCCTTTCAAATTTCTATAGTTGTCTTGATAGCCAGAGGTTCTTTTGTGTAAATTCAATTGCTATGTTGTGTGCCATTTGATCCCTAACTTTACCTACTTCTCTACTGTTTATTTCACTTGGCACACAATTACCATCGTCTATAATATGTGCGAGATTCAGATATTCCCTTTAAAGTTAAATGTTTACTTGTCCCTATTGTCCATCCCATTTGGGAACACAATTAAATAGTGCGCTACCTGTGCAAGAGTAATTTATCAACTTGTTTTAAAAATATAGAAGGATCAAATGTAAGTCACGCGCAGAGTATATCCCTTTCTTTTTAAAGATATAGAAAAGAGAAAAAACAACTGGCTGCGCCTTGTACGTCTTCGTGGTTACTCAATTGATTCAACTGTGCCCATATTTGTAACTCGCAGTGTTATTTTACCGCAGCATTTTTCTTTTTGTAACTCTTTACCACTTTGATAACCGGTACCCTTCTTTTAATTTGTCTCTGATTTTCTATTTGACCTTACTTACTGTTATGTCAGCCTCAGAACTACCATATGAAATCCTTTCGAAAATTGCCGATCTCCTTTTGACGGGTGACAGGTTTTCCTGTGTTCTTACTTGTAGAAGATGGAGATATCCGTTTCAAGAGGCTCTGTGGAGAAACATGCATGTCAATTCCATGAAAAATCTTGAAACTATATGCAATGCAATCGAAGGCTCCAGAACCAAGTCTTCATCATACGGGCTATTAACACAAAGCCTGCGTATGGATGGATACTGCACTATTCCACATTGGCAGCAACATGCATTTTTTCGATCCATACCAAACTTAAGGCATCTTGATCTCGGACGTACACGTTACCAAGAGATGAACACACATATGATAAGACTGAACAATACATGGAAATCGTTAGAAAGTTTGAGAGTTGAGGTCCATGGCAGTAAAAGGGCCGTCGACACCAAATCCTTTGTTGAATTTTTAAAAACGTGTCGAAAGCTTCAAAAGTTAGAAATATTTCAGAATGCTTTTGATAATCCAGTCATGATTAGCTCGAAGGATTTCAACAATCTACATCAAAGCTTAAAGCAGCTGTCACACCTGAAAGCTTGCCTATACCTCAATCAGATTCGCCAAAATGCAGAACCCACAATCCCAATCACTACACCAGCACCCGCCTTGATATCTCTCGATTTAGACTTGTTTTCGTGGCATCCTTTGTGGATATATTATTTTGGTTACAAGTATCCGAACTTAAGATTCTTGAGATTGGATGTGTCAAATGTGCCAGATTGTTGGATACCTCAAGAGAACCTGCAACGAATGCCAAGTCTTTTTCTTTCCAATCCAAATGTACTCCAACATTTGGAAACATTCGAGTTTCTAACTACAGAAATGTCACAATGGTCCCATATTGTTTTCTGGGAATTTCTTTGTCCATTACAAATTCCTATCAAGCATTTAAAGTACAAGACGAAATACAGCAAATGTGATGCAGAGTTTTTAGAGATGGCTATTGCACGTTTCGTAAAATCTTTTTCAAACACACTCGAGACTCTCTCAGTCGATGGAGATGTTTTTTTCAATGCCAAGTATATTACAAAGCTTAGTTTCACCTCTTGCTGCCCATTGTTGGTGGATCTCGAAATTAAAGATTGTGGCGTATCTATTGAGGTGGACAATCTGTTGGATATCTGTGTAGCCCTGAGACGACTGAGATTTTCTAACGGAAAGCTATGGGTTGACCAAGACACAACAAACCAGGAACGAAATCATGAAAATTACCAGCAGAAACATAGGCAGCATGAGTTACAGATTCTGGTGTTACATTGGGTCAACGCAAGTGCTGGTGTATTTACCCACATGTCTTCCAGGTGCAGGCGCCTTGAATATATGAGCTTAGGAAATTCAGATATTTGGGGCTCAATTTCAAAAGAAACCGGGAACTTACTTCTCGATATGTCCTATACTTCCTTCAAGGCATTACGGCTCAAAAACGTTCAATATCATTCATCCGACAGAGACACAGGAAAAAATACTGCGATTAACATTTCCCTCCTTCCGCAACTAAACAACAGTCGGTCACCAAAAGAAATAATGGAAGAAAAGGGGAATAAGGACTCAAAACTTTCTATAATAGAACATTATCAGCACCATTTGGCGTGGTTCCATACCTTTTTCGATGATGATTATGAATATGCGACCGCACCATGTATCAGGCAGCTTTCAGTCCAAGAAGTTAATACTGCGCTTGAATACTATCAGGACTTCTTGTCCAGAGAAAGTACCAATGCTTTAGATGTTTTCAGATCGTTGAACGGCCAAGTGTCGGAAAAAGATTGGGAAGAGGATCTTTGTAGAGGTTACGCCGAATTTAGATGTAGCCACATAGAAAAATATACTATTCCTGGTCTTACACCTGATGATGAAAAGTTCTGGGAAAATCTGTACAATAAGCTTTTTTGATTTAAGAACTACTAGTAAATAAATGTATTGTATTAAAAGATAAATATCAGTATATAACGAGGTATATTTAAAGAAGGCTTGTGGTTAGAACATATCAGTAATATGTATATATATAATGACTAATACTAAAAAAGGTGTTTTCAAATAAATCTATGCCTAATTTCAATTTAATTCAAGAGTAGAGGAACCTTTTACTGCTGTAGTTCACTGTGATGGGTTGGAGCTCATAAGAATACAACTGAGTGCCTTATTGACCTTATTTTCTAGTCAATTGGGTCACTGTAATGGCACTGTTTATTTAATGAATAAATTTGTCTATATTCTATGTTTTGTATTTAGTGTTCAATCAGCAGGTTGACACCATTTACTTTATTAACTGTTCTTGGCGTGTTTTTCTTAATGTGCTCAGTGTTCCTTATAGGTTTCAACTATACAGTTCATCCATTGTTACACTTAAAAAACAGAAAGTAATCGGCTTGGGTGTTTGCTTCTAATAGCTTCTCCGAAATCCCAACCTTTTTTTTTTATTCTTTTTACCACACTTCCCTTAGAAAATGGACACTATGTTGCACAAACCAAGTGAGCAGGACATCAATCTCTTGTGCTCTGTACTATACCAATTTTTATATTAAAATCAAAATAAATGCTTGAGGTGGTATTAACAACTTAATGTCGAATATATATGTATATATTGCTGAGGTTGCCTTTGAACATTTGACTGTTTATATATCTTTTACTTACTATGTGTAAAGACCTGGCTAAGCCTCGTATGTCTTGGGTTACTCCAATGATTTAAGTTCACCGATATTTAGAGCTCGCAAAATCAGTTGTCCGAAATATTTCTTCTTCTGTTTTTTCCTTTTAATTTCAATAGCCTGTATATTTGTCTCGTTTTCTTTTTTATAGAAAGTAATTGCCGTTTTTTCCCTACGACGATCGTTATAATGATAGTATCAGAACTACCGTCTGAAGTTCTTTCACAAATTGCCGATCATCTACCGACAGAAGACAGGCTTTCTGGCTCTATTACTTGCAAGTCATGGAGATACCCATTTCAAGATGCTCTATGGAGAAACATATATATAGATTCCGAAAAATCCCTCGAGTACATATACAACACTATTAAGCCTTCCAAAAATATATCCACATCGTACGGTCTCTTAGTTCACAGTCTACGAATAGGTGGATACTACGAAATGCCTGATGAGCAACAGAATGAATTCTTTAGATACCTACCAAATTTGAAACATCTTGATCTTGGGCACATGACTTGTAAACACATAAACACTGAGATGACAATAGCTAACCAGACATGGATTTATTTGGAAAGCCTGATAATTAATTTCATCGGACGTCCAGGAGGGCCAACCACAGAAAATCTCATCAGCCTCCTAAAGACATGTTGCAGTCTCCGTAAATTAGAAATATCTGCAGAAAAAAGGTTCTGTCCAGTCAGTTTTAGCTTAAAGAGCTTTGACAGCCTACATCAAGCTCTACCACAGCTCATATACTTTAAGACGTTTATATCACATGCGCATGACCTTCAACCTATACTGGACACAATTCCAGATACTATACAGTCACTCACGATGGCAATTCTTGATATAAGCTTTTATCAGTGGTCCGCCAAGTGGCTATACTATTTTAGCTACAAGTATCCAAACTTGCGTTCCCTAAGATTAGATACTTCTAAAGTAATATATGGGTGGACAGAGTATATTCTAACGCAAGGAGTGACGTATCCATATCCCTCCCATTCAAAGAGCTTACAACGCTTGGAAACACTCGAACTTATAACTCCAAACATTTCAGAATGGACTCATCTTGTTTTTTGGGAATTCATTTATCCATTAAGAATTCCTCTCAAGAACTTAAAGTACAAAGCAACATGCAATCGTAAGGATTTATGGTTGCACGCGCAGTTGTATGAGACAAATATTAAAAGAATTCTACAATCGTTTTCGGGAACACTCGAGAATCTTTCCATCGAAGGAACAGTATTTTTCGATATTAAACATGGTCCAGCACTTGAACTATCTTCTTACGCTCCATTTTTGAAGGATCTTCATATCAAGTCTTGTGGGGTATCCATTAACCTAGACGATTTATTGGACAAATGCCCGGTCCTGAAACGATTGAGATATTTTGGCGGACAGTTGTTGATCAATTCCAGTACGATGATTAAAGAAACTATACAACAACAGGAAAAGCAACCACAGCATCATGGATTGCAAATTTTGGAACTGCGCAGGGTTGTTACAAGTGCGGAAGTCTTTAGTCGCCTTTCTTTCAGATGTAGACGTCTGCAATATATGAATTTGAGCTCTTTGTGGGTCAGTGGATTGACTTTTGAAGCAGACGGATGCTTGCTCGTCGATATGCCCTACACTTTCTTCAAGGCAGTACGCCTGGCTCATATCAAATATTGCTCACCTTACGAGAGAAGAGATGGAGACACCACTATCAGTCTTACACTTTTGTCTCAATTAAGTGATCCTATGTCTTCCTTACCCTCAATAACATCAACATCAGATAAATTAATTCATGGTGAAAAGGAAAAGGTGGATCGAAAATCTGTTGCTGTAGTAACCCGTAAAAATATTGCTTGGTTCCACACATTTCTTGATGTTGTATTTGAAACGGATACCAGAATAGGCATCAGACAACTTTCAGAGCAAGAAGCCAGTACTGCAGTCGGATTCTATCAAAGCTTCCAGTCCAATAGAGACAATCAACCAAGAAGAGTAGATATGCCGTTAGATGGGGATAATCTCAAGGAAGATTGGAAAGACAAACTTTGTAGAGGCTATGGAGAATTGAGATGTGGCCAGGTAGAGAAGTACATTCTTCCAAGTGATTCAAAATATGACAAATACTTTTGGAAATACTCGTGTAATAATGTCTTTTTATAAAAATAAAAAAAGTGATAGATAAAAAATTGTGCATCTTATACAGACAATTTCTAAAGGATATATATTCGGAGTGGGAAATATTGTGTATTAAGATAATTGTCTTTAATGGTAAGATAGAGCCTAGTTAGTGTATTTATATTTATGGTGCAAAAAAAAACGAGTCAAAAAGTATATGGTATACCTTTTCTATTTATTATTATTATTTTTTAAGAAAAACACAATAGACTCTCGATTAATTGTGTGTGTATGACATTTGGTATGATATTTTTCTATAAAAGTCTTGAAATCTGTACATTATGTATATGACCAAAGTATTTATGCTCAAAAAGAAATATAAGAGCGCCATAAGTTACCGGAACTTTGGGATTTTATTTGTAAATGCCAATAATAGATATGTGTAAAAGATGCTGGTTAGAGAGACGATCTTTGTAAAGGTTACGCTGAATATAAATGTGGCTACGCAGCCAAGTACACACGAAATTTCTGGACTTGCAATGAAATAACCAATAGTTTATTTATTTATTTTCTGAAGTATACATATAATATTCCACGCCAAGCGCATAGGTATGCAAATAATTAGGTGTGTGTATGCTTGTGCTATGTAGTACTACAAAAGATAAAACTGTGGTCGAGGAGAAAGGTTATCTTTCTAGTTCATGAACTTTAAATATCAAATACAGAAATCGGATATTTCCTCTTACAAAAACTAAAGGACATAAAAGACAAAGAGGCTTTCGTAAATTGAACAAGTTTCTTTTTTTGGAATTAACAACCAAAAATAGAAATTAAAATAAGAAAAAAAATGTACAGAGAATGAGGCATTTTAGCTATCAAATCAATCCAAACTATAATTATATTATGTAGAAATCAAAAATAGAAAAGGTAAAGTAATGATGGTTCGATTAAAAGGTGGAGGGGTAGCTATAGAGTTTTTGTCTCTTTATATATATATATTCTTAGATTTAAATCTAAATTCGAATATTTATCTGATTTGTGATTGACAGAACCTTAACAAGAATGATGATGATTATAATTATAATTATAATTAACCAAAAAGAAAAAGAGGGAATGTAGAATAAGTGGGGTTTGAAGGACAATTTTTAATTTTTTAATTTTTATACAAAAATATAAATAGATTGATTGGTTGGGCTTGATGGAATAAAAAAATAAAAAAATAAAAGAGGGAATTGAAATAATGAGAATAAATAAATAGATAATGCAATTATGTAGTGGTATAAGGTAGGCATGTGAAACAGAATTAAAGAATAAGAAGAATATATAATGTATAATATAAATACCAACAAATCAAATCAAATACAATACAATACAACTGTGTGTATGGTTGTATAGAGTGGCGTGTTAATTATTGAATGAAGAATTGGACCCTGTAAGTTTTGAGTACCTTGATATACACACCGATATCTATCTATCTTTATTACTAGCTTTCCTTCCCTTTATTTATCTTTGTGTCTGTGTATTTTATTGATAATATTTATGTAGTTAGCATTGAGACCATACACAAGCGAACTAATTATAATTACATGTGTTTGTGTCTTTTTTCTTTAAAAAAAAAAGCAAAAAATATTTAATCCAATAGCTCAGAATCACTCTAGGAAAAAAATACTGTAAAACAACCTAGCACATACATACATATATATATATATGTATGTGTGTGTGTGTGTGTGCGCTGTGCATTTACTAATAGAAATAAAAGTAAAAGTAGAGATAAATACAACCCTTTCAAAATCCTGTTTCTTGTTTCCTGCTTCTTCCTATTTGTCGCTCTTTACCTATTCCTTTACTACATAAAATATTTAACCATTATTCTAGAAATCTAGACTTTGTACATCGTATCACACACATGCATGCATCTAATTATATAAATATATTCTTACATGTTCTGCACAACTACATCACAGTTACTGTAAATGTAAACGACAATCAAACACCGTTGTATTTTGTACTGTTCCACAGCCAATCTTTGCACAGGACAGAAAAAGTAGAAATTTCTTAAACTTGATGATTGCATTCTATATACAGTGAGAACGGTAACTGTTGGCACTTTGAGAAAATTAAATGCTCGTAACCAAAAACTAAACTAAATGTAACTTTTAAAAGAATGAATTAATGACACTAGAGAACCCATTGTCGAGTGAAAATTCTAACTTTTTCACTCTTTTTATTGTACGCGGCGATTTAATATCCAATAAAAACTGTAAAGTTTTACTGAGGGAGGCCATTTCAGTCCCAACTCTTTATTAAGAATTGAGCTTGTTTTTCCACCTTTAAACCTAAAAAATAAGCCTTGAAAAACCAAGTTTATTAAGATTTACTCACTTATGTTTATCACAGTACTTATGTTCTCATCAACTGTGGTTGAGTTTTTTCTTATTTTTGACTGGGTTTCACCGATAATTATTTTTTTAACAGCCTTGCAAAATATCACATCCCAACGAGTTCTCTAATGGCTAGGAACTCATCGGTTCTATAAACCTTTATGTTAAAAATACTGTTTTTTTCTCTCTTTTATATTATTCTTATTTATTATGCGATCGTTTCCTACTAACAACAATGCCGCAAACAAGCGACGTCTTATCAGCTTCGATGAAGAAGATCTTGAAGCTGAGTAACAACAAACATTGACTCCTACGGAAATTCAGGTACGAATAAACATTTAAACTTTGTGCAAATAAACATCATCCAGTTTTGATTTTAGACTACTAGTACGACTGCACCCTCTGAAGAAGCAGCTGGAAAACACGACAGAGGTGACCCTAAAAAGATAAGCAAGTGAAACACAACAACTGGTAATAACACACTTGAACGTGATAGTCTGAGTACCATGGCTATTGGTTTATCTGGTATGTTGGCTCTTCTGTTTGGTAAACCTCTTCCTTGCTTCGATCCAAAGCAACACCAAATTAATTCCAAGAATTACAAAATAAAAACTACCGCCGATTTTCTAAAAAAAAAAACAAAAGGAAAGTTTGTTTGACAATTAATTAGAGCAACAAAAACGAGTTTGAGCCATCTATACAAAAGCAAATTTTGGCCAGAAACTCTGAGCTGTAGAAAACAGGTCGCAAATAATTTTGTCGCGAATAAAGAAATACATAAGGACAAGTAAAAGTTATTTCAACACTACTCCTTTAAAGGCTCGACTACATCAGTTCTTCCAAGAAGCTTAAAAAAAGTAAAAGAGACTCTATCTTTTGCCTTTATATTCCATCAAAACACTTTTCTTGAAAGCAGCTTCTAGACCTCTCTTGAGCATAAAAGTGCCATGTGTTACTATTCATTTTGCGTTAAGCACAAACGGTAGTAATGATCCCCAGCTCACTTAAGTTCTGAGATATGTATTTGTTATGAGGACTTGAAGACGATAAATCGCACTCCAAACAAGTATGCCAATTATTCTGATAGTCAATAAGACCGTGTTTGTTTATTACCAGAAGATTGAACTTTTAAATGCTGCTGCCGCGGCTAAAAGAAGTCCTAAGATTATAGAGAGATGTGAATAGGTTGAAACTTGATCAAAAACTGATATGGACTATAACTTCCACCCTATTCCCCTGAACTCAGTTGCATCGACCAATTTTGGGCAATTGTTAAAGGAAAGGTTAGACATAGTGATACGGAAGATCTGAAAACCAGAATTTCTGAGACATGCGACCAGGTTCCCAGGAATCATTTATATAATTTTGCACAGCATTCTGCACTTGTATTTTAAGATTTCTTGAATGATCAATGCAAATTGGCAGTTACAAGTATGCAAAAATATTTAAAATCACGCAAATTGGTACCGCGAGTACTGTTATGTCCATTATCGTGCTAGAAAAAAAAAGTTTATTTTAAAAGGCAATATCGACAATACCAGGAAGAATGGAAACGTCACAAACTGTTGACTGATACCATTACTGAGGCATGCAGAGTCATAACTGTTGAAATTCTATACAAGTTTGCCTGTCATTCTAAATGACACTTCATTCAATGTTATAATAAAATCCCATTCTAATCGTTTTGAAGTCAAAAGACATATACCATTTTTATGTCAATTCGATTTAACTTATGGTGACATTTCTTTAATTTCAAAAGGACAAAACTTCTAGACATGAAGAAGCAATCGTTTTTGGGTTAGTGTCATTATGATTATAATTATAATAATTTTTTTAAAAAGTAACGTTTAGTTTTTGGTGACGGACATTTAATTTCCTCAAAGTGACAAAGTTTACCGTTCTCACTGTATCTCAGCAACCATTATGACAACTATTACTGAATTGAATCGAAAATAATTTAATTGAATTAAAAATTTAACTTAATATAATGTAATGTAATGTAATGATAAAATGCATGGAGTTTTTTTTTCTTTGGTATTAATAATTAACGTCATTACTATAGCAACAGTAATAATAGTAATAATTAATTTCTTAGCATTTCTTCTCCATGGTTACAGAGATAAAAATAGTACAAAAAACGCGGTACTTTTTTTTAAAAGAAATTTATTAGATCTCTAAAAAAAAATTACGTTGCTTAGTAACAAACAACTTTATTCAAACCAGAAAACCATAATATAAGTAAACAAATAAACAGATAAAAAGGTATTGAGAACATTTATGTATATGTATAGTATAGTATATTAATGCTATCTTTTCTCTTGTGAATAGATCTGTCAAAGGTGAGAATATTTTTGCTGGTTTACTGCTTGTTATTTTTAGCTTATTATCCTGCACTGCACGGTACTGGAAAGTAAATATAAATGTAGATATTAGTTTAATTATGAAGTGTAAGATTGCTATTGATGAGTTTGAAGGGTTTGGTTAATGATTTATGATAATAATAAAGGAATAAATTGTGTGAAGCGATTAACCGCAGCATTTATTTGAAATGATTAAAAAAGCATACACACATTTTACAGCTCAGATGTATATCAACGTGAATCATCAGAATACGATAAAACATGATAGGATAGTACATTGCATGGTAGGGTAGTAAACGATATTATAGAATTTGATGAGCAAGAACAGTAAATTAGAAGAGTATAGGGTATTTTCTATCTGACTGTCTGTCTTTCTATTGATTCGTTAGAGGGGTTAAAATTAAACAAAATAGCATCTTTTACCTTGTGATGATTATATTTTCATTTCCATTTTCAATTTTTAAAAAACAAAAAACAAATAAAAGTGATCTAGAGCAAAAGTAGTTTAATCCAATTTATGTAAATCTATTTTGTTGGTTATTGTGCTTCCAAGTTAGTGTCTCCTCCTTCTCCTTCTCCTTCGTTCTTTTTTTCTCTTTCTCTCTTTTGGCTTTTATAGTATACGTATATCTATATCTATATATACATACAAAGCACACAATGCATGTGTATAACAATAGCAGTAGCAATATCGATGTCAACAGCGACATCCACAATATCAGAAACACATGCCGTATATAGTGTATATATTATCCATTAATTTTAATAAGAGTTGCCAAAGGAGTGGATCGAATATTATTCGTTGACATCTCTTTGAAATACAATACAATATTTTCTCTCTCTCTGTGTGTGTGTGTGTATCTGCATATTTCACTTAACCTAAAATATACCTATATATTAGTGCAAACCAACAGATTTATTTAGTCTTTTTCTTTTATTTCTCTTGGCAAAAACAAATATACATATATATCAAAGTATCTATGTATTTTAGCTATATATTATATATATTCTTGCTAATACCAAATGAGTATACAATTAATTGTGTGTCGTGTGCGTAGTGGAGTGTGGCTAATTTTTCTTTTCATTTCATCTTCTTTTCTTTTTCTTTTACCTTTTACCTTTTATATATTATATATATTTGTTACTTGAATCAATAGGTAAAATAAGCTTCAAAATATTAAAGATATAAATATAAATTACTGTAGATTGTTTTGTGTTGGGAACCCATTGTGGGCCCATTAGTTTCAGAAACCTGCTTTTTCTTTTACCTTTTTTTTTAGAGTCAAAAATTCAACTTCCAATATCTAAATAAATAATTATTATATTATTATTATTATTTTATAATATGCTAAATACAATGAAATACCTATATTCGGAGAATAGAATGTTAATCATAAGAATAGTCGTTTCTATGGATACAAATATAAAAAAAAAAAGACAATTCTAAAAATGGATAATAAAAGATACTTTATACATACATACATATATATATAATTTATAGTAATAAATTATTATTATTGTTGTTCTATTCTCACATGTATAAAGAGCAGTTTTTGATCGTGTAACTTGATCTTATTGAATCACGATTATTATAAAATTATGATAAAATTATTATTATTACTATTAATCATAGTATTAATATTAATATTATGTATATAATTTTATGATTGTTATTATTCAAAATGATGTATTTTATCTTCCAAAAAAACAAGGTTAAGAAAGGGGGAGTGAGTGTGGGAGAGGGTAGTTATCCATAAGCGTACAATAATGATTATTTTTAATTTTAATTATTTTTTCTTTTACTTCTTCTTATTTTATTTTATACTTTATACTTTATACTTTTTATATTTTATATTTTATATACGTACGTTATAAGTCTATTTTTGTGTGCCTCGGTCTTATTCCTTTTTGCTGTATTTCATTTTAGAAGCAGGGAAAAGGTATATGACTATACATTTTTGTGTCCTATTTAAATATATGTGTTTTGGGTTTGTTGAAGCAAAAAGATGTATATATAAGTTTAATAGATATATTTAGAAAGACCAAAAAAGTAAGACACAAATTTGCTTAGTATTTTTAATTTTTTTTTTTTTTAATTTTTGCCTTTTTTAATTTTTGCACCCCTCTTTTATTTATTTATTTATTTATTTATTTATTTATTTGTTTCCTTGACTACAATTATCTATCCATTACTGCTATTTTTACTACCTTTCTTCTTTCTATTAATCAATATTCAATACAAACCAACCCAACCCAAAAAATAAAGTCACGGCCTCTTCTTTCGCTCTTATTTTATTTTAGTTAATTTAATTTTTATTTTATTCACACCCTACACTTCTCCCCATCTCAACTAACCTCAAATCACCTCACTATACCACACCACACATTAGCCTTAGTCTTAGCCTTAGCCTTAGCCTTAGCCTTAGCCTTAGTCCTTGTTCACTCTTCCTTCCCCCTCCTCCTCCTCTCCCTTCTTTTCCTTTTCCTTCCTTCTTCCCTCTCTCTTTTTATTATCAACACTAAGAGTTATATTTATAATTATAATTATAATTAAAAGAATCAATTAGACATGGTTTCAAGTGGCAATAATGACACACAATCATCAGCAACTCCTCCAAAGGCGAAGAAACGGAGAACGAGAAATGCAACAGCATGTGTGTGTTAAATTTCATTTTTATCATCTACTTCAATTCAAGGCATTTGAATTATTACAAAGAAGAAAACTAATCGACTCAATTTGATTCAATTGTATTTCAATTGTATGTAATACACAATATGCTTCTGTTCTTTTTGCATATGTAGGTATGCGATGTCGGGAACTAAAGAAAAAGTGCGACAATAATCTACCTTCTTGTACAAGATGTATCGAATTTGGAGCCAATTGCCTCTACCTGACCTACGAAGAATACCAGCAGACTCTAGCAGAAGCAGTGATCGAGCTGAGTCAAGAATTGGACATAATCCAAGCCGACGTACGCAATCTGACCTTTAGAACCCCACAATCGAATAATACCAACACCGTCATTAATAATCATGTTAATAGTAATATTAATCATCATCATCATCATCATCATCATCCTCATAACACCAACTACTACAACACATACAACAATAATCAAAGTCAAAGTCAAAATCAAAATCAAGATCAAGATCAAAAACCAAATCTAAATCTAAATCCAAGCCCAAGTCCAAAACAAACGGCCGTCCAATGGCAATTTGATTATGACGGGAGTGAGTCAGCAGAAACACTTGAGTTTTACAGGTTTTTATGGAAGATGCGGCAGGATTATGAGCAGACAAATTCCCGTAGGCTACACAACAATGATACCGGACGGAATTATTGTGGCGATATTGACGATATTGATTATTACGAAGACGAGGTTCTTTCTCCAAAATCAACATCGACGTCCACGTCAACTTCATTATCATTATCACTGTCAACCTCGACCTCGACCTCAAATTCGACTTTAACCCCAGCATCACCTCCACAGTTCTTACTACAGCCACAATCACCATTACTGAATCGACAAAAAAATCAACCCCTGAAAACAACCTTGGCAAATTCAAATTTAAATTCAAATTTAAAAGTAGCAGACCCAGACCCAGACTCAGGTTCAGGTTCAGGCTCATGCTCATACTCATGCTCAGGGACAGGAACGAAACGAAACCCAAACCTAAAATCAGAAATGGAAATGGAAATTGAAATTGAAACAGGGACAGTAACAGAGACAGTAACAGAGACAGAAATGGGATTAGGAATGGGAACTAGGGTAGGAACAGGGACTGGGGCTGCAGCACCAAGTGGCGGCGGACTATTCGAATGGAAAGCCACAATGGATGAAGGACGGCTGCGGATTGACACCAACATTTGTTCGTTTCGAGATATCTATCGGGTTCTGAAACAGAGCCAACAGGTTGCCACCGACAGTGGCTTGTGCTCCCAAGTCAGCAACTATCCCAGCAAACAGGGGTCACTTTGCTCCTACGAGTAAGTTACAACGTGGCTATCTTTCTCGGCCACCTCTCCGTTTTCCATGTCTGTGATCGACCAATCACAAGTCTTGTTTTCCATTATTTTATTTTATTTTATCAACACCCTTTATTACGCTCATTATTTTATTTTTATATACATATGCTTTATTTATAGCTTATATAGTAAGAACCACAAAAAATCCAAGAAAAATCCAAACTCCTTCTCGCTCCTTTTCTCTCTCTCTCTCTCTCTCTCTTATTCGCACACACACTCACTATTGGCACTTGTAACTTGCATTTACACACATTATTGTATTTCTTTCATTATTTTTCCCTCTTTTTCTCTCTCTTACTTATTCTTTGATATTATTTCATATTATTTAAACGAAATTATACTATTTACAAGCCCCTAAAAAAATCTTATTATTCATTCACTCTACCCACTTCCTTTCCTTTTCTTTACTCTACTTTACTTTCCTTATTTCAAACCATACCCTATTCTATCATATAGCTCATTTACCTTATTTCAATATACTTATACTTCTTTATCGCCCACTTCTTTACGTACCTCAATTTTACTTTTCTTTTGAACAAATATACAAAATAAATAAACAAACAAACAAAAAATAAAAGAAAGAAAGATATAATACATCATGCCTGTCGACGAACAACTACAACTACAGCAGCAACAACAGCAACAGCAACAACAGCAACCTGGACAACCCGAACAACGGAAGAAACGCGCAAAGATCGTGAGTGCCTGTAGTGAATGCCGCCGTAAGAAAACAAAATGTAATGGCGAATTACCCTGTCGGAATTGCCTAAAGTCCCAGGTGTCGTGCATCTACCCATCCCATAGTGATGACAAACGAAATACGCCGAGTAAAGTTGCGCTGGAAGCAATTGAAGACAGGCTCAAGGCTATTGAGGACATGCTGAAAATAATATTGCAGAGCCAGAGTCAGAACCAGAGTCAGAACCAAAACCAAAACCAAAACCAAAACCAGAGCCAGAGCCAGAGCCAGAGCCAGAGCCAGAGCCTAAACCAAAGCCAGAATCAGAATCAAAGTCAGATGACCTTTGTGGATCTTGACCCTGTCGCAGTCAATAATTTCTTGGGAAGAAACAACAAGATGATCATATCTTCACCCATCTCAGCTCCTCCTTCCTCTGCTCCATCGTCCTCTTCCTCTTCTCCTTCTCCATCATCATGTGTACGATCGCCACTCCTGACCGCCCTAACGACCAGTAATTCAATTCATCATAATCATCATATTCACGATTACGATTACGAGCACAATTTATTGCCACACCAGCACCACCAGCAAAAACAACAGCAACAGCAATTGTTGTTTCACAGCCGTCCTCCTAGTACACCAAGTCCCCCTTCTCCTCAACACCAACACCAGCACCAACACCAAATTCAAACTCTTATTCAGCCTCTTACCCAACCTCCTACTTCGTCGTCGTCGTTGTCTCTGTCGTCTTCCTCTTCTTCCTCTTCACACTCTATCCACACTCAAGAAATTCGACTGCCTTCTATCCACAACCTTTCACCACCGTATCCTTTATCTCAGCCAAATCAATTATTACAACCCTTATCGTCGGCATCACCGTCATCGTCATCAAATAACAACAACAACAACAGTACTAGCCAATTACCGACCAATTATCCTCTTAATTATTCTTCCTCTTCTCCTCCTCCTCCTCCTCACCATCATCTTCCTGCTCACCATAACCAGCAACAACAACAACAATCTCACGACTATTATTATGGAGCATATCAGAATGATGATCAGTCTAGCTACCGTACAGAAGAGGAATATACGCTTCAACCTATCAAGAAGCGAAAAAGAGATTGAACAAATGAACGACTTGAAAAAATTGCTATTACTGCTTGCGGTTGCCGTTTATATTTTATTATATTCTTACTTTTATTATATTTAATATTTATCCACCTTTTTTCTTTATATTACTATTATTACTATTATCTTACATGACTAATTACAACCATATTCTCTCTCTCTCTTTTATATATACATATATACACACTCTTATATTATATTATATTATATTATATTATATATTTTTTAATCTTATTCTTATCATTTTATCCAAATTTAACCTAATATTATTACAGGCTTTTTTTTTTTTACTATATCTCTCTTTCTCTCTTAATTGTATAGAATTTGACATCCTATATATATATATATATAAACACGTATTAATGTGATGTGTAAATGTGTGCTTTGGTACACGCATAAATAAATGCACAATCACACCTATTTTCTTTAAAAACAAAATTGATTTACTTATTTTTAACTGTTATACATATTACATACTATATATATGTGTGTTAGCTTTTTGTGGGGTAAATACGATCCAAAATAAGCCCAAGACTGTACACAACTCTGTGCACGTCCTCAAATGAATTGTACAATGGAGTTGGTGCGATTCTGATGACAGTTGGTTTACGTTCGTCACAGATGATTCCTCGCTTTTGGAGTTCTTCAAAGACTTCGATCATGCGCTCCGGAAAATCGAGTGACAGCTGGCATCCTCGCTGAGAGACATCAGTTGGGGTTAGGATCTTGAAGTGCCCGGCCCGCAAGTGTGTGGCGAGTATGGTGACCAGCAGGGTTTCGAGAAAAGATGTCAAGCGCACAGACTTGTTGCGCAGGTTTGTGAACCCGGCCTGATCAAAGATTTCGAGGGATCCTGCCAGAGCACTGGTTACAAGCACACCAGGGTTACTGACTTGGTAGCCAGCAGCACCTTTACTTGGACTAAATTCTGCATACATTTAAAATATATAAATATGTATTCCCTCTCTCTCTCTCTGTGTGTTTAGACTTTAATTTTACCTGGCTTCATTTCAAATCGGTTTTCCTTGTCATTTCCCCACCATCCAGCAAGTCTTAAATAAGTCCCAATACAGCACAGCAAAAAGGTTAATGCGAATAAGAATATAAGATATAAAGTTTATTGTACATGCATGTATGCATACATATATATTTTTAAGCTTTTTTTTTTATTTTATTTTTGGGTTATTCTTACCTTGGTCGGGAAGTGTCATTTGCATATTTCTCGTGTACAAACAGACCCCCAATTCCACCAGGCCCAGAGTTGAGATACTTGTAAGAGCACCAACATGCGAAGTCGACTTGCCAATCATGAAGCTGCAGTGGCACGTTACCAACTGCGTGAGCCAGATCCCAGCCTACCATACAACCCTATTATATATATATACCCAAAAAAATTAAAAAATAATAATTAATAATTAAATATGCATATACTTATAATTGAATTGGATCAAATGGTATCAAATTAAGGGTATTATCGTTGTCTTACCTCTTCGTGACCAGCTTTGGTGATCTTCTCGATCTCAAACAACTGGCCAGTGTAGTACTGTACGCCACTCAGGAGAACAAGAGCAATTGATTTGTCATTGCGGATAGTTTTGATGATATCTTCCGTACGCAGGGTACTTTCTCGTGGACGGGGTCCTACGGTGAGTAGCCCGACTTCCGGGTCAATTCCTCTTGATTGGATATGCGAACTAACCGCGTACTACCAAAATATAAATACAAGAAAAAAAAACAAGGTTATTTTTTTGTTGTTGTTTGATAATAGTAATATTAGCGTGAGTAAAATATAATAACTATAATCTAAATATGTCTATTTGTATACAATGTATTATAATATTGTTGCCATAGTTACATACATGATCAGAGGGAAACGCCTTTTCTTCAATAAGGATCTTGAAACGAGACTTTGTTGGCTGATAAAACGTAATCATCATGCTGTGAAGGTTGGATGTCAAGGTGTTCATGGGCGTAACTTCAATAGGCTTTGCACCTAAAATAAATAAATAAATAAATGAAACAAAGGGCGTATGTTTCATATATCTCAAAATATGTATATGTAAATTTTTTTTACCAACTATTCTGGCCAGAGGTTCTTTTACAATTTCATCAATTGTTACCCAAGGACGATTATGAGGATGGTTCCAATGTCCCTCGACTCCTCTATAATAGACATTTATATATATTCCATTATTATTTTTTCTCACGGGTATATTAATATGTACTATACTATAATATATTATAAGATTCATTTCTTTATTGGTACCTTTTTGACCAAACATCCAATTCTTCAATAACTCTTTTGCGCGCCAGTTCAGGCATCAGTCCCAGTGAATTTCCACATAGATAAGTGCAGGGAAGGTCTAGTTCCTTTTCATTATCTTCAAAGTAAGAACATAAAAATATTGTCAATAACAATAACAATGACAATTATCGTCCGTGTTATCTTCTTTGATATATTTACCAGCAGTAAGATCAGGGCTCAATACGTCACGTCTTGTTGGAATATTGAATTCTTTGCGGAACCTGGCAAGGGTATCTTGACTATCTAGTAACTGAGCATACTCTAGACTTGTAGGCGAAAGATCGTTGGTTTTGGCAGACATCATAATTATATTATAGTATATTTAGTAATAGATGTATAAATTTATTCAATTATTCAAACAAGAAGAGGAAGAAGGAGAAGAAGAAGAACCTTAGCAATAATAATAGTAGTGAGTCAAGTAACCATAAAATAAGGGGGAAAAAAAAGAAAGATTTTCTCCGCGAATTTTTTGTATATATTTATATAAAATACAAAAAAAAATTATAATTATTTTAGTGATGGTAGTGTTGATATTGATAACGATGATGTTGATATTGATGATGACTACACTGTAGATTTGTTCCTTTCTTTTTTATTTTAATTTTACTTTACTTTATTCAATAAAAATATAAATAAATACAATATTGAATAGTCATACTAACAGTCACGAGCTGCCATTTTAAGAATGTAACATTAAAAGAGATATACATATGTAAAAGAACGTTACTTGGTAATAAAGACTAATGAACTATCACTTCTGTCTATCACAATTTTGTGTAGCAATTTGCTGTAGCCAAGTAGTCATCTGCTCTTTGATATATTTTAAAAGGGTGGGAAAATAAATACTTGCAAAAAAAAAAAAAAATTGAAACCGAAATGATATTGTCTATATTTTGTTTGTTTGTTTCAATTTCTATAAAATTACTATCCCTATTACTATTCTTCTTCCCTAAAATCAACTCTTTTGTTAACTATATAACAGTTTGACTGATTGACTGGTTAATTGGATAGCTAGTTTTTGGTAGTATTTAATTTAATTTATATAAATGCTTATTTTATATTCGAGTGTGTTACACTGCCGCGGATTCTTTACAAACACACACGCACTTATTTTGTTTCTCTCTCCTACCAGCCACAGCTCAATCTGAGTTGCAAACAACCCATTCTTTTTTCTCTTACACATATATACACCTCGTGCTGTCAAATGAGGGGAGACTATTTATATAATATTTCTCTATATATGTGTAATCTTAATTGAAACAAAAACTATATATCATGACGTACTTTTCCTGTTCATGATAATAATAATAATAAAAAGAAAGTGTTACATAAAATATGAGGATTGTATTATCTTGCAAATAGATTAAAATATATAATCAAAGAAAGAGGGGTACTCAGTTGAGGAAATAAATAATAATTTTTCAATTTGTATTAGGGTGTTTCAAAAAAATAAAAATAAATTAATTCAAAGGGGGGGTTTCACCAGCTTTGAATACTTTGAAAAATCGATGGAGCGATGCTTTTAATTATTATTATTATTGGAGCGAAATACCCTCCCGATAATTTCTAGGCCTTGTGATAAACTACTCTAATTCAGATTGATTACATTCTCTTTTGCTTTTACGCTTGTATTGAACTAACGACTGTGCATTTAGCGCAATAACTTTTAGTTTGTAGATTTCAGCCTTTTAAATTTAAACATTAAAGCGTCTAATCTTTTTGTTAGATATTCAGATCTTTTATTATATAGTCTGCTCCTATGTTGGTATTTCCTTGGTATATTATTTGTAAAAGGCAAAGTGGCTAGCTATCGTCAGTCTTATGAAAAAGGGTGTTTGAACTGTATAGCATTTAATAGCGGGTTGGTTGCTAGTAGGATCACCATGTTCTTAATGGACTCGTAGTAGCAAGGAACCAAAAGAAGAAGAAGAAGAAGAATACTTTATGAGGATATGTTCTCAAAACAATAGTGTTCCACGCAAATAGTTAGGACATGCCAACTAATATGTATATAATTAGACCTATGGTAATAGAAATTAGCTGTCATAATAATAACAATATATATAAAGTATTTTTAACAAGGTAAAAAGATTACTTGACTACGCTCTACCAAGCTTCCTCTAATAATGACCTCTTTAACTACTAAAATCTACTTCTTTCCTTTACTCACTTCAATCTTATCTCTCTTTCCTTCTTTTCTAATCCTCGAGAAGTAACGGTAACTAATTTCCATTACACTTATCGTCTCACTTTTGCGCCTGTCCTTTTGTTTATTAACCTTTAGAGTAATAAAATATTCATCTTAAGCGGTAATAAAAATCAGTTGACCATAGCTAGGTGAATACTTTTTCTTGTCCTCCCATAAAAAAAGGTTTAATTTGTTACAAAAGTCAAGAAAACCAAGCATCAGTCTCATATGCTTGGCAATACATCATTTTAATAATCAAGAAAAAAAACCTTTTACCGGGTAATAGCAACTGGACACCAATTATATATATATATTCTGTATAGAAAATATGTAAACACAAGTTTTTTCGCTTGTTGTATATATTGTTTTAATTATTTATAAAGACATAGCTGAGCCCCGTATGTCTTGGGCTACTTGAATAACTCTAGTGTACCCATATTTGTAACTCATAATATCAATTATTCGAAATAGCTCTTCTTGATTTTGTTCACTTTTCCTATAAATATCCTTCATATTTTTTCAATGCATATTATACACAAGACTTTTTCCCTTTTTTTTCTACGATTGTCATTATAACTATGACAGCCTCAGAACTATCATCCGAAATTCTATCACAAATTGCGGAGTATCTATCGACAAAAGACAGGCTTTCTGGCTCTATTACTTGCAAGACATGGAGATACCCGTTTCAAGATTCTCTTTGGAGAGACATACAAGTCGATACAAGACACCCTCTCAAGGATATAAACGACAGAATCAAACCCTACAACAATGCATATACACCATACGGCTTTATGGTACACAGTTTACGCTTTGAAACATACTACGAAATGATTATGGTACAGCAGGATGACTTCATTAGCTACCTACCAGAATTGAAGCATCTCGATTGTAAAACTTGTGATGGCTACTATATGAAGCAATTTAAGACAAAGTCTAAGAAGATATGGATGTCTCTGGAGAGCTTGAAAACCGACTATCATGGGCCTGAAATGTGGTCAATAATAGAGCCCGATATTGGTGTCTTAATAATGTGTCCCATGCTCCAGAAACTTGAATTCTATAAAGAATTATATTGCAGTCCAAAAACCTTTAGCTTACCAGACTTTGACAGTATACACCAAACGCTAAAGCAGCTGTCCCACTTCAATGCTAGTTTCCGTCCTGATCCTGACGACTCATATACAGACGACGAGATCATAGATACTCCGCCAGCAATCACCATGGCAACCCTTGATATAATGATTTATAAATTCTCCCCTCGGTGGCTGTATTACGTTAGCTACAAATATCCAAACTTGCGATCCCTGAAATTGGATATCTCAAATTCATTTCATGGGTGGACAGACCATACCCTGATGGAAAGAATAGCATACACATATCCCTGTCATGCAAAAGGCCTCCAACACTTGGAAACACTAGAACTTACAACTCCGAGTATTTCTGACTGGGTTCCTCTTGTTTTTTGGGAATTTATTGATCCATTAAGATCCCCCCTCAAGAACATAAAGTTCAAAGCAGCATATCCCCAGGATGATTCACTATTTTTCGCCCAGTTGTATGCAACGTATATTAAAAGATCTCTAAAATCCTTTTCCGAAACACTCGAGACCCTTTCCATCGAAGGAACAGCATTTTTCGATATTAAATATGGTCCACCACTTGAACTATCTTCTTACGCACCATTCTTGAAGGATCTTTATATCAAATCTTGTGGTATATCAATTAACCTGGAAAACGTATTGGACAAATGTCCAGCCCTGAAACGATTAAGATATTTTGGTGGGCAGCTGCTGATTAATTCCATCACGATAAATCAAGATGAAAAAGACCAACGGCATCACGGGCTGGAAATTCTGGAATTACGGCGGGTCGTTACAAGTGCCGAAGTCTTTAGTCGTCTTTCTTTCAGGTGTAGACGTCTACAATACATGAATTTGAGCTCTTTATTGGTCAGTGGATCTATTTCCAAGAAAACCGGGTGTCTGCTTCTCGATATGCCATACACTTTCTTCAAGGTGGTGCGCCTGGCCCATATCAAATATCGTTCACCTTACAAAAGAATATATGGGGATACTATTATCAGTCTGACTCTCGTGTCCCAATTGAACGATCATCTGTCATTACCATCACTGGCATTACCATCCTCACGAACAGCAACAAATATAGATCTTAAAGAAGTGAATCCAGAATCTCTTGCTGTAGTAACGCACAGAAATATCGCTTGGTTCCACACATTTCTTGATGTTGTATTTGAAACGGATACCAGAATAGGCATCAGACAACTTTCAGAGCAAGAAGCCAGTACTGCAGTCGGATTCTATCAAAGCTTCCAGTCCAATAGAGACAATCAACCAAGAAAGGTAGATATGCCGTTAGATGGGGATAATCTCAAGGAAGATTGGAAAGACAAACTTTGTAGAGGCTATGGAGAATTGAGATGTGGCCAGGTAGAGAAGTACATTCTTCCAAGTGATTCAAAATATGACAAATATTTTTGGAAATACTCGTGTAATAATGTCTTTTTATAAAAATATAAAAAAGAGTAAAGACTCTACATTATACACACATAGATATATATTTGTGTTTGTGTGCAGGGTATGGTAGGGTATTATATATACCGATTCTATCATCTATATGATTTTGTTGCCTGCATAGTACTATTTTTTTAATGAATAATTATGTTTTCTTTTTCTGCTCTGCCTTGGGTTGGATGTTCAATTGACAAACTCAAAACCTCTATTTATTAATCCTTCTCGCTATGCTTTTCTCACATGTTCTATGTTCCTTATAACTTCACGATATATGAATTGTTGCTGCTCACACCTGAAAAATAAAAAATTAATCTTTTTGACTTCTTTCAAATGGTCCTTTCTCTCTCTCTCTCTCTCTCTCTAACTCTAACAAAAGGAGGACGAATAGAAATTAATGAATGAAAATATCTAAATAAACAAAATATACATATTCCATGTTCTATAGTACACTTTATGATTTCACTTTTGTGATACTAATACATTCGAGCTTGTAATAACAAAATATCGTCATAAATCAATAACGTGTAATTTAAGAAAGTTTTTATATAACAGCATTCTTTTTTAAAAGAATTAATTTCATATATGATTTTTTAATAATATGTATGATAATTGAGTACCCATTGTATATACTGTAATAATGCTTATGCTGTTGATTTCTGTGAATCTATTTGTGTAAATTACGGTACAGGTTATTTCCCTTTCCTTCCCTTTCCTTTCCTTCATTTATTCCTTTTTCTTTTCTGTTGAATTTCAAACAACTATAATTTTATAATTGTTTCTGACAATAAATATGCTAGCATCACATCTTCCACCTGAAATTATTTTCCTAATCGCCGATTTTCTTCAGACAAGCGATAGACGATCTTGTGCTCTGACTTGCAAGAAGTGGAGATATGCGTTTCAAGTGTTTCTTTGGTGAAATATACGTGTCGACTCTGCCGATCATTTTGAAGACATTCGCAGTGTCATTGTGAACCCCAAAAACACATCTAGATCTTGTGGCCGATTCGTTCACGGTCTACGTATAGGCGATTGCTGCACTATACTAAACAGGCGACAAGATGAATTTTTTAAATCTATGCCCAACTTGAAGCATCTTAATCTTGGCTGCATGACTTATCAAGAAATGAATAAAAATATGACAAGATCTAACGCTGCGTGGATGTCGTTGGAAAGTCTGAGAATCGAAATCAACTATAATCAAAGAATAAGATTGACACCAGATTTCGTTGAGTTTTTAAAGACAATTAGCAAGCTCCAGAGATTAGAAATATTTACGAGGAATCAATTATGTCTAGTAATCTTTGGCCAGAATGACTTTGATGACTTGCACAAAAATTTGCAACGGCTTTCATCAATAAAGGCATATATCTCTCTCGACTTTTCTGCTACCCTTAAAGATAGCACAGTGCCAGATATCATACCAGCACTTGCATTGACAGCCCTCGATTTAAGGCTAGGTGAATGGAGTCCTCTGTGCATGTATTATTTTTGCTACAAGTACCCAAACTTGCTTACCCTGAAGTTGGATGTCTCGAATTCGTATACCACAGTACATTATAATCAAATTCGAGGAACCGGACCTCCTTTTTATATCAGCCCAGACGCACTTCGACACCTGGACACATTCGAATATATAACTAAAGAGGAAGCACAAAATACACGTATGGATCTATGGGATTTTTTTTCATTCGTTGAAAGCTCCTGTCAGAAAGTTAAATTACAAAAAAAATATTTGGCGGTAGACAAGGATACAGCTATAAAAATTTTATTGAGCGGATGTTCCGGATCTTTTCAGGAACGCTCGAGAGAATTTTGATTGCTGGAGGAACCGATGGTGACAGATCTACTTCAAGCCTAGAGCTTTCCTCTTATTGCCCATTATTGGTGGATATTACTATCATGGACTGCAATGTGTCTATTGATCTTGACAATCTGTTGGACAACTGCGTGGCTCTGAAGCAATTGAGACTCTCTTTGGGTAACCTCTTGATCAACTCAGTCCCAACAGAACTAGAACAGCAACAACAGCATGGACTACGCATATTGAAACTAAATGGAGTTAATACAAGCTCGGATATATTCAGTCGCCTCTCCTTCAGGTGCAGACGTCTGGAGTACATGAGCTTGGTCTCCACTTATGCGAAAGGACCTATTTCTGAGAAAACAGGGTGCTTGCTACTTGATATGTCCTATACGTTCTTCAAGATATTACTTTTCGGCAATGTCACATACTGCTCATCTGATGAGTATGGGAATGAGAAATCTGTTATCAGTGTTTCGCTTTTATCACAGCTAAACAAGCCTATACAATCAAACGACAAAAAGGAAGAAGGGAAAGGAGATTCAGTATCTAATGTAACAAATCATCGTAACCTTCACCACATCGCTTGGTTTTACAACTGTCGTTATAATACATATAGCTGGGACAGAACAAAGGGTATCGTACAGCTTTCAGAGGAAACTGTTGATACTTTTGTGGAATACTTTCAAAATTTCCAGTCAAATAAGATATCAGAAGACCTGGGATTAGGTGGATTAGGAGGTAATCCTATTATGAATGAGTCATGGAAATTAGATCTATATAAGGGGTATGGTGAATTTAGATGTGGAAACATAGACAAGTATATTGTATATGGAGTTACAGATGATAACGAAGTGGATTGGGATAAGCTGTACGATAACCTTTCTTAAAAAAAAACAATAAATAAAAGAGAAAGAGAAAGAATATCTTGTGAAAGTAATTAATTGTTTGTGCATTTGCGTATTGTCAAATATCATTGAGTACTTGATTTGTCTTATGTGTATAAAAAGAAGAAAAGATTTTGGTACAATGTATATAAGCTGTTTGTGAACAAGCATTAATAACTATAATGTCTTTCGGACACACCAAAAGTGTATAGGTCAGCCCTCTACACTAAATAGTTAATTAGATTACATGTTTGAAATCTATGCTTAGAATTCATTTGTTGTTGCATATATATAAAGATTTAGGGCTAATATGATATTTAATCAATCATACAATCAATCAACAGTGCCTACGCTTTTTTTTTCTACAACAGTTGATGTGGACAGACTACAAAGAAAAAAGGGAAAAAAATGCTATAATTTAGTCCAAGCAAATGTTAGGTAATTTCATTATCTAGTTAAGAGTTTATTTGATTTTTCCAAAATGTAATTACTAGCCAATAATAGTAGGTATACAACATAGCACATTATATAAGATACATAATTTGAACGTTTATGCAGATTCTCAGTGTATGAAAGAATTATCAAGATAATTATATTGAAGTATTCTCTAGTGTTCTCAGTATATTATCTAAAAAAAACTAAAATCAGCTTAAATTTCAAATATAGGAATGTTAGCTATTGTTAGGATATTAATAGAAAAGTAAAGACTAATAAATAGTTGGTATTCTGGTAAGAGTTAATCATTTATCTAAGTAAGAAAATAGTAGAGACCTTGAACACATCATATAAAATTCATTTAGATAAAGATTTTGATCTTAAAGAGAAGTAGTATGTTTCAAAATTGTATTTGTTTTAAGTGATATAAAAGATTATATAAACTTCGAAAGCCAATTATCTTTTGGTACTTTATGTTGTTAAACTAATAATAGTATAAAACTTGAAACAAAGAATGAATTGTGTTTTTAAGTAAATAGTTAAAGAAGCTCATATTATCTTAATATTAGCTGTTTTTTTTAATTTGCACAAGCATCCTATGTATACAAATATTAATCAACAGTTTTTAGTTGTGATGTCTAGAAAATTAATCCGTTATTATAACTTTATAGAAAAAAGTAACAAACTTTGAATTGAACTAATTACATAATTTTATTTTTAAGGATTTAGTAAGTTAATATAACTGATATAGTATTTCGGATACAAAACAATAGAAAAGTAATAAATTTGATAATAAAAATGTATAGAAATACTTTGGGATCATATATAAGTTATTCTTTATTCATAAATAAAATAAAAACATCTCTTTTTATAAGAAAATACAATCTGTTCTTATTATTATGTCTTAGTTTCTTAAGGCTTTCTTCCTTTACTGTGTTTGGTTATTTAAATCATATTTACTACTTAACTAGTGTCAGTATTATAAGCATGACATCAAGTCATAAATCATACTTCTTTAGCTCTTTGATATTATTTTCTCTTTTATACTAGAGCTTTATAACTTTCTAGTAAATTAGCTCTATGTAACTCTGATACAGTTTATCTGGTAGTATGATATAATTATCTTAACAACCTTTAAGACATTATCTACAGCTGTAACTGTAATAATTATTGGCCTGATTACTTAATTGCTTATATATATATTATATGCTAACAAGATGATTGCTACTAAGCTATCTCAATATGAATATATTCTTGTATGTAATAAATGCAATAGCTGAGTGTCTAGATTATCACACTTCACATATTGTATGTAAATAAATTTACTTAATATTTCTAACTTCATAAACTTCATATAGAACATCAAAAAGGAGTTTTTATGCTACAGTTAATGCTTAAAAAGATATTACTGTACATAAAAAAGTATTGCATTTAACTATCTTCAGATCTTACAGATTTGTCGTTTTCAGTCTAGATTGTTTATCCAATACTATAACTCAGCCAAAATTGGTCAAACCCACTGGGAATCGTAAACGAAGATAAAAGAATAAAAAGAGGATAAAAAGATAGATAACTTTTATTGAATGAAATAACGCTCTCTTTTATATCTTTTCTAAACCTACCCAGCCATTATAAATGTCTGTTTCGGTTTCTATTCTAATTTTGTTAAGCCATATGCTTTCTAATTCTTTTGTGAGCAAAAGGAAATTACTTCGATCGTCGTTCTAAAAAGAGAATTCTGTGTAATTGTCATCCTGATTGGCTGACAAGACTTTGGGCACGACAACATTACAAATGTCCGGAAAAAGCAAAAAGTGATTTCTGCCAGACTTGAACTGGCGACCGTCTGTGTGTTAGACAGACGTGATAACCAACTACACCAAGAAACCCTGGGTTGTCACGTCTACTCTCAATTCGTTTGTATCGCCAGTTTATTCGTCCACAATTTGAGTATGGCCTGGCAATATCCTGCTTCAACATCAAACAAGTTGCTGTGCTTGAAAAGGCCCAGAACACATGCTTACGCATGATTTTTGGAGGTCACTCCACATCTTCTACATCTGTTTTCCGTCACCTTGGGAATCTTCCTAGCATGAGGGAGAGGATCTTGACTCTTGGTTTCAAGTTTGTATATCGTGCTTTCTGGTTGCCTGATGAGGCTCTGTTTACTCTTCTTCAACCTGTTCTTACAAACCCAGCACACCAATGGTTTAAGCTTTTAGCTAATCCCATTTGGTTGTCTCTCTCCAATCGTCAGAATGCTGATTCTAAAGCTTGCAAGCATGCCATTCGTTCATTTTTGAACCAGGGCCTCTTCTTGCAACGCTCTCAACAAATACTTCTCTCTGCTTGCCGTCCTTCTCTTGGTGTTGACCCTATTCTCTGGCTTCCCATGACTAACTATGAACGTAGTAGATTCATACGTTGGCGTATGGGGTGGCTTCCTGGACGTCCTCAACCTTGTTCCTGTGGATTGCATACCACCAGCCGTCATCATGTCATTGAGTGCACTGGAGCTGCAATTCGTCTCCATCTCTATTCTACAGTACAACCCAATCCAATTGATTATGTACTCAATATGCTGCCTCTGAAGAAACCTAAAAACAACAAGAACAATGCCTTCTGGATCTTTACTTGGCCAATTCTTTGTAGAATAATGTTGGACATAGAACAGATCTGTCTCCCTGGGGTTGATCTTGCTGATCATGCTGCAACAGACAGAGGACAACTCTTCTTGAACTGGCTACCCAAATGAGACTGGCCATCTCCTTTTGTTTTTAGTTTAGATCTGTATTAGTCTTAGTTTCCATTTATTGCATGAATTTCATGCATGCTTCATATTTTATCCTTATCTCCCTTTTTTTGTATCCCCTAGCTTAGTTTCCCTTTCTAGTTTTTCCCATTTTCCCCCTTGGGTTTTTTTCCTTTCTATTATTCTTTTTTGTACTCTTAAAGGCGGGCAATAGCTCTATAGTGCGTGTGCCCACTAGCCTTTCAATAAAAATCTTTTACCTACACCAAGAAACCATTGATTGTCATAGTTGTTTTTATATATTTACCAATTTTCATTTTTTTTTAATTGACTTTTTTTCAAATTGTTGGAATCATCATTGCAATCATCTTCACATCTGCGCCGAAATCACTCAAGATTGTCAGCATCTCCAACTACATCTCAATTGCCTGTACCTCTGTTATTGTCTCCAGCTCTTTTCTCCTTCTCTGAAGGTGGTTCTGGTGTTTTACCATCAACTTCGCACTTTTTTGTCCCAGTTTCAGACCTTTCTTTTTCTGCTTTGCCTGCTCCTGGTTCCCACGAAATTTTTTTTCAAGCTCCTCCAACAATGATTGGTTCCCAAAAACAGGTGATTAATTCCACTGGCCGCCCTACTCCCACTGCTCTCATTTTGTCTGGCCTCAAGGCAGACTTTAAAAAATTGCACAATGTTTTGTCTTGTTCACGTTGCCAGACTACAGGCAAAATTGTTTCCAATGGGTCTACTTCTCGTACTGGTAGCCCACAGTTTAAATGCAAATGTGGTGCAACATTTACTGCTTCATCCATGCAATCTTTGATCAATGCAGTCCAACACAAAATTCCTGAAGTTTGTTCTGCAAGTAAGCCTGTTGTGTCCCCTTCTGTTTCCATCTTGGGTCATAGTATTTCCATGGCAGATATCCATGAAATTGAATCTGATGTTGCACCTGTTCTTCCAACTGTAATGCCCACTCTTCAGGATATTTGGGACCGTTTCCAGGCTTATGATGAACGTCTTTCTGCATTGGAGGCTGTTCAAAAAGAGAATATTGAGTTGCATAAGGCTCTTGCTACTGCAAACGCCACTATTGCACGTTTGACAAAGGAGAATGTTGATTTTTCTGTTGGTGCTGCAGCATCCAAATATGCTACTATTGCTGCCTCTGTTCCAGTTGTTTCTCAGGCTGATTTTCCATCACTTCCTGCATCCCCGACCCATCATTCCACTGAACCCACCAAGACTTTCGTTTCTAAAACACCACGTAAAAGGGCTCCAACTGCTAGGGCCATTGCTGCTGTTGTTCGTGGCATGACAATTAAAGAAAATGCTGATCAGGGGTTTCAAATTGTTTATGTACCTAATGCTATCCGTCTCCCCATTAGTACTCAACGTCAACGTCTTAGGAAATTAAAGATAGACAATGCACGTGTGCTGGATCTCCACTATCCTGATCGTAAGGTGATGGGAATGCTTGTACATAATGAGTATGCTCCTGAGCTCAAGACTATCTTGGCGAGTTATGGTGTTACTACTTTGGATAACTTTGATCCTCTGGACCCTGTTCACCTCCGTGACCCAGCTCTGGCCTCTCTTTCACTTGATGATAGGGCAACAAAAGCTATACATGTTCACAATGAGCGTATGCTACGTGCCATTGAATTCATTAGGGCTCCTGTCAAGTTTGCTGTTGCACGTTCCTTTTGCTCTCAGGGATGGATTAGTGATGACCAACTAGCTGAGATGGTTCCCCCACGACCCACCAAAAAAGACTTGGACATCTCTATACATACTGCCAGCATCACCATCCCTTCATTCTCTGATCTATGAATCCAGTAACAATTACATTATGGAATGCAAATGGTCTTGCAAAACAGACCATACCTACGATCCTTTCATACGCTCCACTTACTTCCCTTCTTTTTATCACTGAAACGTGGCTTTTGTCCCCCCATCGTTATCCTACTTCTTGGCAGCAGTACCATACCTATGGTCAGTCTGTCCCCAATGCTAGCCGTGGCTGCATGGGTATTTCTCTTCTTGTAAATCCTTCTTTCCCTTACCCCATTTCTATTGTTCCTTCTTCTTCTCCTTATGTTCTTTCTTGTATTGTATTTGATTTTCTTATTCATTGCATTTATCTTCCCCCTTCTCTTTCTGATGACGATGCAATTTCTATTCTTTATGACCTCCCCCTCTCTTCTTCTTCTATTCCTTCTTCTAACACTATTTTTTGTGGTGATTTTAATTCACGTATGGGATCCTTTCTTGGTGACCATGCTATCACTTCGCGAGGAACTTCTTTTCTTCAGTGGATCCAGGCAACTGGTCTCACTTGTTGGAATGAATTACTTGCATTTGGTATTCCTACCTTTCTTTCTGGTGGCTCTGGTACCTCACGTTCCAGTGTCATTGATTTATTTCTTTCTACGTCCCCCCTTCTCAATCCTTCTATGCAAATTCGTTCTGATCTTTCTTTAGGCTCTGATCACAAAATGGTCAACCTCACTTTCACTCCCTATGTTTCACCTCCCCCTCCCCCTACTAATCATCCGCGCCTACTTTGGAATCTTTCCAAGCTTGCTCAGCCTGACACTCTCAAGATCTACATTGATACAGCTTCTGGGTCATTGGACAATCTGACAGAGCAGTTCAGTGCTTTCCTTTCTTCTTCTTCTCCTCCTCCTGTAGATTCTCTGTGCTCTGCTTTTGCTCAAGCTATCTATGATGCTCTGGACACTGCTGTTGGTCGTCGTACACCATGTACCATGCAAAAGTACTGGTTCTGGTCAGTGGACCTTCAAGAAGCAATGGATCTGAGAGAACGCAGCTACCAACGCTGGCGTCATTCTAGTGGTTTGCAGAAGGCTATATGCTGGATGCGCCATCAGGATGCATGTCATGCTGTTAGGTTATCAGTCCAGCGTCGTCGACGTGAAACATGGAAAGAATTCTGCAACAAATTGGCAACACAAGACTTTGCAAAGACCACAGCAACAATGAAACGTATTAAAAGCCATCGTCAAACCAGTCCTGTCTTTGTGGATCCGGGTGGACCTCAAGTAGCTGCTAACAAAATGGCTGATCATCTTCAACAGATTTTCTCAGGTCAATTTCTTCCTGCACGCCGCCCTCCAGACCAGACAGTGATGATTTCATCACCAATTGCAATTGATGAATCGTGTCCTTTTACTCATCTTTCTGTAGAGAGTGCAATTCTCAAGCTTCCTACACGCAAGGCTCCTGGTGTTGACCATCTTCGTGCTGAAATGCTTCACCCAATTGTTAAGCAAGTCTCTCCTGTTCTTTGTCTTTTGTTCCAGCTTTGTTGGCAATGGGGTTCTGCACCTCTTGCATGGCGTACTGCACAAATTGTCCCCATCTTTAAAAAGGGTGATACTCATGACCCTGCTAACTATCGTCCCATTAGCTTAACGTCTATCCTGAGAAAAGCCATGGAATATTGTCTACAGTTTCCTCTTGAAGATGTGTCTCCAACAATTGACATTGCACAGGGTGGATTCCAACATCAACGTAGCTCCCTTGATCAAGTTCTTTGTCTCCATGAGATGGTCCGTTGTCACACAGCTCTATTCAAAGCACCACCAGTCTTGGCTTTTCTTGATATCAAGTCTGCATATGTCACTGTTGATCGTTCTGTAGTATGGACATCGTTACGTCCTCTTGCCTCTGATGCTATGTTAGCTTTGTTACAAAGTCTTTTTGACAATGTTCAAGTTGAGGTGTTGCTTTCTGGTGCAACATCCAGATCATTCCAACCATTGACTGGCGTTATGCAAGGATCTGTGCTTTCTCCCCACCTTTATTCCGTGTACATAAATTCTCTACCAGTTGCTCTTCGTGCTGCAGGGGAACTTTGTAACACAGTATTTAATCAGACTGCTGCCACAAGACTCAATGATCAATTAGTCAATTCACTACTTTTTGCTGACGATGTTGCCATCATTGCTACACCAGAAGCTATGCCTGTCATTCTGAATTCTGCTGAACAACATTCTCAAGAGCTAGGATATCGTTGGAGTCCCACCAAGTGCATGATCCTTCACCATTCTTGTTCTCTTTCTCCTTTGTCATTCTCTCTCTACAATGTGCCTATTCCTCATGCTCATTCGTTTCCTTACCTTGGTGTTCCCTTCTCAGCAAAGGGGACTATTGATCCATCTCTTCTCATCTCTCGTAATTGTGTCTCTGCTATCAACAGCATGCGTGCTCTTCAATCACTTGGTGTCAATCATACTGGGTTGTCACGTCTACTCTCAATTCGTTTGTATCGCCAGTTTATTCGTCCACAATTTGAGTATGGCCTGGCAATATCCTGCTTCAACATCAAACAAGTTGCTGTGCTTGAAAAGGCCCAGAACACATGCTTACGCATGATTTTTGGAGGTCACTCCACATCTTCTACATCTGTTTTCCGTCACCTTGGGAATCTTCCTAGCATGAGGGAGAGGATCTTGACTCTTGGTTTCAAGTTTGTATATCGTGCTTTCTGGTTGCCTGATGAGGCTCTGTTTACTCTTCTTCAACCTGTTCTTACAAACCCAGCACACCAATGGTTTAAGCTTTTAGCTAATCCTATTTGGTTGTCTCTCTCCAATCGTCAGAATGCTGATTCTAAAGCTTGCAAGCATGCCATTCGTTCATTTTTGAACCAGGGCCTCTTCTTGCAACGCTCTCAACAAATACTTCTCTCTGCTTGCCGTCCTTCTCTTGGTGTTGACCCTATTCTCTGGCTTCCCATGACTAACTATGAACGTAGTAGATTCATACGTTGGCGTATGGGGTGGCTTCCTGGACGTCCTCAACCTTGTTCCTGTGGATTGCATACCACCAGCCGTCATCATGTCATTGAGTGCACTGGAGCTGCAATTCGTCTCCATCTCTATTCTACAGTACAACCCAATCCAATTGATTATGTACTCAATATGCTGCCTCTGAAGAAACCTAAAAACAACAAGAACAATGCCTTCTGGATCTTTACTTGGCCAATTCTTTGTAGAATAATGTTGGACATAGAACAGATCTGTCTCTCTGGGGTTGATCTTGCTGATCATGCTGTAACAGACAGAGAACAACTCTTCTTGAACTGGCTACCCAAATGAGACTGGCTGTTGTGAATGAGTATTGATTACTGCTGAATCTGAGAGTAAGACTGAAGGATAAAATAATATCCTCAGCTATTCCAGTCAAACGGATCTCCCTTTATGATATTATCTAATACACAGATCATCATACACATAATTGATTATTTATTATTATCACCATGACATGGAATATACAAATACATATACATTATATATATGGCATCATTATATTTCATCTACATATTTCTTTTATTATACAAATACTTAATTGAGAGACTACAACTACAACTATCTAATATTATGAAACATTACCCGAGTATCTGGGTCGGAATACTAAAATATTACCAATAGCATAAATGCTCTTCTTTACCAAAACTCTTGGACTGATCTGACTGGAGAAGTATCATATCAATTGGTCTTTCCGGATCTTTCCAGAAGAACAATACTCCTGGAATATGACTCATCGTGATAAAGATTACTTAAGCACACACTGAATTACAAATTAGAAAAACATATAAATATCAGTAGATAGTTCCGTGTAGAAAGACAATCGAATTTTATCATTCTTTACTTTTCTTTTGAAATAAACAACCTACACAAGTTCTCACAAATTCTTTCGTCTATATTATATTTTGCTTTATTTTCTCCCCACAACACTGGCCATCTCCTTTTATTTTTAGTTTAGATCTGTATTAGTTTTAGTTTCCATTTATTGCATGAATTTCATGCATGCTTCATATTTTATCCTTATCTCCCTTTTTTTGTATCCCCTAGTTTAGTTTCCCTTTCTAGTTTTTCCCATTTTCCCCCTTGGGTTTTTTTCCTTTCTATTATTCTTTTTTGTACTCTTAAAGGCGGGCAATAGCTCTATAGTGCGTGTGCCCACTAGCCTTTTAATAAAAATCTTTTACCTACACCAAGAAACCATTTACACTACTGTAGATTTGCGTTAAGCCTATAAATCAATGGTTAGACAATATAAAAACAGGCAAAGAAGTATACTTGATAATAAAGAAGTATACTTAAAGAAGTACAATAAAACAGGCAAAATAATATAGTAGATAAAAGATGATTTTATTATGAATAATTGCTATTGATATTTATACTAATTATTTAAAATGTTTGTCTTGAGATCTTATTCGATATGATACCTCATTTGTAAGAATATTAATTTGAATTATTATTTCTACTATATAAGAATGTAAGTGAGGGTCAAAGTAATTAATTATAAAAAAGAGATTTGTTTGCCCTTTTCTCTTTTTTGAACAATTGATTTGAATTTCTTCTTTTGTTTAAGCTCTGGCTTGCCAGCTATGACACTACCCATAGGTACCATATAATAAAGTACACTAAAGCTTCTATTTGTCTTCATCTTTTTTTAACTGTCACTGCAAAAAAATGTCCAATTTCTATACGTAATGATATGTAAAATTTGGTAGACAGAAAACCCAAATTTGTAGTGCAGAATTTTTTTTTGTAGAATAAGCATTGCATTTTTTTAAAACAATTCTATTGGTCATAGAGCACCAAGTAGTATAAAAAAATACAATAATAAATTTAAATTGAATAAAATAAACTGTACCTGAGTATATATTTATCTTCTTTACTATTTAAAGAATCATATTCTTTTAATAATTATTAAGCAATGACACCAACCTGTAAATCAAATAAAACAAAAGAATGCAAGATAAGATTTGGAGGATCAAATACAGTGTCTGTACAGATATTTAATTTTCATAAAAGAAGAAACAATACTAGAATGAACATCTTTCATAATAGATGTAAGGAATTTTCTTTTATGTTTTAATTATATTTATATTTATATTTTTGATTTAATAACAAATATAATATAGTAATTATTAAGAGACTAGTCGAAACTACTATAAGCTATATTTCTAAAGTTATCAACAATGATGAACAGAACTTGGTGGCCATAGACAATGATTATGATATGAATTATGACTTTGATAGTAAAAATATATATTTTTATTTTTACTTTTATTTGCTCTAACTTCTTTTATAGTTCTGGTAGAAATGGACAACAGTATAGAAGTAGACATGGAGACACAAAAGCCTATTTGAGCCTTACCTCTCTCAGAATCTGATACTATTTTTGGTTATAAGAATGAAAAATTTAACTCTGATCTTGATTCTGATGAGTGTGAAAACAATTCCAGTGAGAATGATATGCTTGATAGTGAAGGTTTGCACACTTTCAAAATAGATATTGGGTTCTACTATATATAATAATAGAAACTAATTTTTTTTAAAAAAGATAACTTTCCTGAATTCCACTCAGAATTGAGTTTTATCCATTGTTTTATCATACAGGTCCTTACACTCTTTATATTCTTGTATGTCGTCAATAAAGATGTCATTCTTTTCATTGCCATCAGAAACAAAATACTTGAGCTTTTCAGAGATCTATTCTATCTTCTAGTTAACATCTCTAGTCCCAAAAGCATGATAGGATTCAATACCTTTACAGATGGTATAAAGAAATACATTTCTTGTAGCAAATGTCACAGCATATATGAGAATGATGAATCAATACCTGCTTCTGTCTTTTTGATAAATTTGGGAATAACTCAATGTGTGGTAATAGTTTGTTTAAGTTGGAAAATCAGTTATCCATTTCAAAAAGAATATATGTGTATCACTCTGTTCAGAATTCGATCAAAACTCTCTTTTCTTAGCCTGATTTTGAAACTCAAATCAACTCATAGAACTGTAGCCCAAAGGCTAAGAATACTATGTTCAATATATATGATGGCTTAATGTGGAAAGATTTGAAAGACACTAATAAAATTATCTTTATTCATAGCAACTGCTCACTGATATTAACCTTAAACATTGACTGGTTCCAGCCATTCAACCGTGTGACATATTCATGTGGTGCAATTTACCTGGCTGTAAACAATCTTTCTCGAAGTGTAAGATTCAAGAAAGAAAATGTCATTCTCATTGAGTTAATGCCAGATCCAAAAGAAGCAAAAACATCCGAGATAAATTTATACCTCAGACCTCTGGCTGATAAATTAGAAAAGTTATACAAGAGAGTCAGAGTCCAGACATATCAATGCCCAAATGATACCACCATTTGTGCTGCTCTGTTTATGGTTGTCTGCAACATTTCTACTGCACGAAAAGTGTGTGGATTCATGTCCCATATCAGTACAAACACATGTCACAAATGTAATTGCCAATTCTCCCAATTAGCTGGAACGAGCTCTGTCGATTATTCTGGATTTGATTTCTCAAAGTAGCTTATTCGCACTAAGAATAATAATTGTAAGAATGTTGAGGTCTGGGGGAATACAACCACTGAAGCTGAGAGACATTATCTTGAAGTTGAAAATGATATTTGCTGGTCCAAACTGCATTGTTTCCAGTACTTTGACGTTGTTTGCTACACAATCATTGATCCAATGCACAATCTCTTCTTAGGCACATGTGGTGATCCAGACACTTGGTTGTTGGATTTATTACATCTAAGAACATATTCCTATTATTATAGTAAAGCAGCTATCATTACAAGAACAAATGAATAATTTATTTATTTTACTTATGGTAAATCAATAAGACCAATAATTAATTACAGTAAGTACTGTAATTATGACAGCTCAGTAAGCACTGAGTTAATATGAGAACACTGCAATTAGATTAAATTATAAACATAGCAGTACCAGCTCTCTAATATCTAAATGAACTCAGACTTAAGAAATTAAGATGTGACTGACAAAGCAGATCGTGTTTTGATATAAAAAGAACAACTTTGTATTCTTTAATAAAGAGAACCTATATACAGTCTCAAAGTATTCTTATATACGTCTCAATCTTTTTACCATTGATTTTATTTTATAAAACTTCACAGGATGTTTTTTGTAAATATCTGCCATTTCATTACCAAATCAAATGTTTTGGAAGATGATATATAGTCAGCACACATAGCACTTGAGAAGTTTGTTAAAGATTGTGAAAAGCTGTATAGTAAGGATCTGTTATCTCCAAACATGTATCTCTATCTTCATCTTCGCAATATAATCAAGGATTTTGGGTCTGTTTATGGGTACTAGCTCTTTAGTTTCGAGCAATACAATAGCATCCTAAAGAATATCAATACAAACAGAAGAAGCGGCTTTGAAATGACATACATGAAAAAATTTGTTGAAGATACCTGTAAAGGCAATTTTGTTTGCAATTTCTTGAAGATATCTAGTCTATTCAATTTCTCTGACATCTTCAATAAATTGGTAACTGGTTATAGTTCTGCTGATTCTACAACTAGCATCGCCTTGTACAATTAGTTCTCTGTATCAGACTTTCTTGATGCTACTGAAAATCTGAACTTATCAATTTGTGGTAATGAGCCTTTGCTGCCATCAGCACTGTCCTTGCAAAAAAAAAGCATATGAGATGATGCCAAGACAGGAGTATGATTGTTTGGTAGGATATTACTAACACAAGAAAGCTCTTCAACCTTTCTCCACCTAGGTTACTGACACCCTCTACGCAAACCAATGACATCTTCACACAGTTTGTCTTGCGTATAGCATCCATAATAAAGATATCGGAGAAACGTCGAGCTCTCTTGATTATTATATTATTTGTAAAAAATATATGTGTAAGTCTATTTCTCTCATTAAACTCATAGAGAATAGAAAATCACTTTGCTTCCATTGTTCTGATGAGCTCAGTAGCACCATGGGCAAACTTCTTATTACCATGAGTAGCACTGTACTTGAGATTATTGATATTGCTGATCCTCAGCTTTCTCATTCCTGTCCCCTTATCACTTGTTGCCTTCTGAACATCACGGGTGTTGTAAATGAGTATTGACTACTGCTGTAATTGAGAATAAGTCTGAAGGAAATAATATAAGGCCTCAGCTATTCCAGTCAAAGGTGTCTACCAATTACTTTATTATTTAACACACAGGTTTAGCATGCTTGATAGTGATTATATTTCATATGATGATATCACCATAATATGGGATACATCAGTGGATTATTATAAGCATAATTATAACTCATAAACACATTTACTTTCGATGTTAATACTTCATTGGGACTACACACATTTATATAATTAATCATACATTAATTATCCCAAGATCACGTTGCTCTGATTAAGGCTCAGATAGGATCGATTACCTGACCCCAGTCATATAATTTTCCCGATCCAAAATAATATAAATAGCAGTAGTAGTTCAGTGTAGGAACCTCATCAAACTTTGATACCAAATCTTTCTCAATAAACAAATCCTATACAAGTTCTCACGAATCTTTGTTTCTTATCTCAAATCTTCAATTCTTCGTCTTAAAAACTTCTTCAACTTCAACCACCACAACAACGGGACTTGGCGTGATTCTCCAATATTGTCTTTGCAATAGTGGCATCTTCAGCAGGCAAAAGAGACATTCTTCCTTGGTGAGAAGAAGCCAAATTCTTAGGGGTGACAGGATGGCTGTGGCAATGTTCGTTTTCCCCATAGGCGGGCAAAGGAAGATATTTTTTGCTCTTCTTCTTATAAGAAAATCTTAAGAGATAGGGGCATTCAGTAAGAGAAGAGTTGTGTGTCTTCTTTCTTTTCTCATCACTTATATTGCGCTTGTCACGATAAACACCAGCCTTTGAACAAGCAATGTGAAGGATAAGGAATTTTCCATTCTTAATCTTAACGGTAAAGTTATTAGAAAGAGCGTAATCATTTACGGCTTGAAGAACACTCTGTGTGGTGATCCAGACACTTGGATGTTGGATTTATCACATATAAGAACATATTCATATTGGGATAGCGTAGTAGCTATTATCTTGTCAGTATAAAATATATATAAACAATTAAGTAATCAGCCCAATAATTATTACAGTTAGTACTGTAGATAATATCTTAAATATTGTTAAGATAATTATATTATACTGCCGAGTAAACTATGTCAGATCGATATGGAGCTAATTTAGTAGGAAGTCCTAAAGCTCTAGTATAAAAGAGAAAAGAATAGCTAAGAGCTAAAGAAGTATGATTTATGACTTGATGTCATAATTGTAACACTGACACTAGTTAAGCAGTAAATACACTCTAATAACCAAATATAGTAAAGGAAGAAAGCCTTAAGAAACTAAGACGTAATGACAAGAGCAGATTGTGTTTTCTTATAAAAAGGAACACTTTTTATTTATGAATAAAGACAACTTATATACAGTCTCAAAGTATTTCTATACGTCTCTATTATCAAATATTTTATTTTTTTATTGTTTTGTATCTGAAATACCACAAAATATACTATATACTAGACAAATAATTTATATAAAAGTAAAAATGATTTTAGTATCAATTATTACAAAATAATATGCTTTATTCTTTCTTTCTTTTCTTTACACAAATCTATTTGAAATCTAGATTCTCTATTTCTCTTGCTCTCATCCTCATCTTTGTTGGCATTGTCATACTTGCTGATAAGTTCTAAAAAGTCTTCATCTCTATAGCTTAACAGTCAGTTGTATAAAATATAACAACTTCTAATCCATATCTCAATCTTTACCATGTTGCACTTGTTTTTTATGATGGTTCATAAGCCTTTCAAAGATTGAAATCTCTCTTTGAGAATTCCAATACAATGCTCAACTTTGATCCATGCATGGATGTGTTTGTAGTTGAATCTCTTATTTTTGGTCAAGATTGTTCTATTCTGCAGCTTCTTGTAAGTGTGGACTATATATCAGCTTGGTGCATATGCTGAATCCCTAAGAAGGCAATGATCCCCTGAAAAGAACTGGCCAGGAGTTCTTCTCAGCTGCAAGTTTGCAAAGATATGAGCATTGTGAAAACATTCTGCCCATCCAGTATAGCAGTAACAAATCATCTTTTTATAATCACATACAATTGTTGCCAAAATACTATAGTAAGACTTCCAGCTGTAGAAGCTCTTACCTTTCCATGTTGACTTATATTCCAACCCAATCAAGATACTGTTCACAAAACCAATGCAAGAAGGGAAGTCTGTCTTGGCTTCAATTCTTTTACTGATAGTACTACATTCTAGCTTATCAAGACAAAACACAGTTCTGCTCTCTAGACACATAATAGTAGTAAGAAACCTTTCAGTATATTGGCAAACTAATCTATCTAAACAATGGAATGCAGTTAAGTATTAAAATACATACATAATATATAATTCTTTCAAGATATTAAGTCTTATTACTGATACATATTGATTATGATATATAATCTATAGAAGTATCATTTCTATATACACCTAACAATTTTAATGTCACTATCATCTGAATAATAGACTTAGTCTGCTTCTTGCAAGGATCACTCCAGAATACCCAGTGCCCCTTGATTATATTCAATATATAATTAAATGAATCTCTGTTTATGTGAAACTCTTGTCCGAACTGATCATTATTCACTTGGCATATGAGCCAATTTACTTTGCTAGGAGCTTGAGAGATATGAACTCTTAAGTAAATATATTGGTTTTCAAATACAATCTTGTACATAACAAGTTCTGGGAAGTTCTTCACAATGTTCAGTAAGGAAATATCAAGAGAAGGCTGTCTTTTTATAAGCTTTTTAAGAATTGCTTCTTTGAGATTTCTAAAAACCACTTGTCTGTCATTTAATATAGATATTTTTGATAAAATATGATGTTTTTAAAAGAGGATATAGAGAGAAAAACAGAGAAAATATAAAAAAACAGAGTCGATTATGCTGAAATATTTTATTTAAAAAAATCAAACAACTATTCAAGCAACTATCTAAATATCTAAGAATTTTGATAGTTGTTTGGAGATAAAATTTATCTATTTTTCAGATTAACAAGAGCCAATGATTTTTTAATATTAAACTTTTAAACCAAAAACAATCAAATATCTAAAACTGCTGAAACACTCTAATAAAATGAACAAAATAATATAATAAATAAAAGATGATTTTATTGCAAATAAATTATTATTAGTTTCTATACTAATTATTTTAAAATATTTATCTGAAGATCTTACTTGATATAATACATTTTCTATAGGAATATTAATTAAATAAGTACTTTTAATATTGTTTTCTTTTTTTTTAAAAAAAAAAAGAAAACAAAGTGCAGACGAGAAGTACGGTGAGACTTTGTTTATTGATAAAAAGAGAAATAATCTTCTACTGCTATTTGCTATATGACTTTATATAGACATTGCATATGTATTTGAGGCAATGATATGAGTATATCATGTGATATCTGTTTTCTTATATCATAGATAATATATTATTAAATTATTACTCACGCTTTTGTTTAAGTGATTAGTGATTTTGACTAAAGTGTGTGACTTTGTTGATATATTCTTTATTTAATAATAGTGTGAGATATATATACTAGCTGCTTCTTCAATATGTCTTTATCTTATTGTCTGTGTGCTCTATTCGAATTGACAATTATGTTGGATACAACAAATATATAAAAATATAAGTAAGAGTTAAAGTAAATTAATTATAAAAAACATTTTTAACTCTATCTTTTGTCTAAGTTCTGGCTGACTAGTTAGAGCATCTTCAGCAGTCCACTTTATATCCACCTTTACATTAAATTTAAATATTTAGCTAAAGTTTGTTCTCCCAGCAGTTCGATTAGATTCACTCTAAATATAAAAGACAGTTCTTTTTCTTTATTTTCCTATTAAATTTAATAGGAAGATAAAATTTATTGATGAAAACACTCTCAAAATTTATTTAAAGAAAAAGATAAATCGAACTGCTGGGAAAATTGACCTTTTCTTTAGCTAAAGTAACGGTGTTTAACTTTAGATAAATTAAAAGTTCTCTCACTGCTGAAGATGCTCTAAACCAACCCTAGCATTTTCATGTAATACACGAAGTATGCCGAAGAAGACCTTTACGTCAGAACTGCCTGAATGTCAGAGGTTTGAAATATGTTCACTCAAAATAAACAAAAAAAAACTCAAAATAGAGATGTATCTTCTTTAATAAAGATGTAAATAATTAAGTAGCTTATGCAAAGAAGTGCAGCAAAAATTTTATAAAGAGCATCATAGCTTGTTTTGCAGAATACAATAGTTTAGTGAATTCAAAATAATATTTTCTATGTCAATATCTAGACAATTATATATATTGCTGCTTTTAAGTTTTTTCCTACTCTTCTTATACACATCTTTTACAAAGCTATATCTAAAACAATGAATATTATTTAATTCACACCAGAAGTACCCGAAAAAAACTCAAGACTCCAAAAGCTGATAAGAACAGCAAAACTGGCAGAAAGAATGTGTCCTTTAATAACAAAAGAGATCTTGCATTGGATGACGTCTTGTTGGAAAAGCACCCATGGAACCCCAAGCTCAGAAAAAGAGGAGAACTTTGGGAAGACGCAAGAGCTGCAGTCAACAAAGCTGACAAAGATGTTGAAGGCATTTTGCTCAACACTGTCAAAAATCGGCGTAAGCTCCTTATAAGAATATATAAGAAGAAAAAGAATAAAGAAAGACAGTCAAGTAGCAGTAATGAGCTTTTTCCAGAGCTTCATATGCTTGCCGGTGAGATTATCAATTTGATAAGTTAAATATAATATTACATACATTATACAATATCTGTTGTTTAACAAACTTTTTATTACAAAGTGAGGTATTCTGGATTTTTTATGGGTTAGTATCTCAATAATGGGAAAAGTAGATACTGTGAGAGTGTTATTTATTAAAGAGACAAAATAATATTGTTTATATCTGCTACTATTAAAATCCCTGTAATTCAAATCCCTGTTGTGTAATGGTTGGTTTACACTGTATGAGTATGTAGTGTACGTGTGCCTGGTGTGTAACAGTTCTGGAGATTGTTAACTTGCCAGGTTCATTAGCAAGAACGAACCAGTATTTGGTTGTGGGGTCTGTTCTTCACTCAAATGTGGTGTGTATACCACATATACCACAATAGCAACAGAATAAATTAACTTTCTTTAAAGGAAAAATTATGTGTCTTAATAGAAAGACGTGTAAATATAATAAAAGCTTGGAAAGAGAGAGAAAAGAAAGACAAGATAAAAAAATGAATTGAGTCCAAAAAGATAATATGATGAAGAGTTGTCATCCTAAAGTTGCAAGATATTATTTTGGATATATTTACAGCTTCATTTAGTATACTTATATGAAGGAGTTGTTTGAAATGTTACAATACTTATTGTTTACACACACACTCTCTCTATTTCACCTATTCACTTACTTTTTTTGTATTTTATTGATATCGCCAGTGCTAACAATGCGCGACGTTGGAAATAAAGGTTGTAAAAGGAGAGATAGTAGGGGAAGAGTGCAGAAAGGGAGAGAAAACGGCTAACTAACTAAAAGTAACTTCACCAGCTATTCGGGTGGCATGTACAGCCTTGGTGGCAAAATTTTCAGGAAGAAAGAGGGTATTGTCAAAGACTGTAGCCCAATGAGCACACCAAATGGCGTGAGATGTTGTGGAAGCTGCCAAAAGCTGGAGGGACTGGGAGACGGAAGGTGAGAGACTGGTGTGAGTGAGGAGACCAACGGCCTCATAAACAGATCAGGACGGGCACAGTTGTGTGATTAACATATTCTACACCTGAAGCTTGCCAGGGCAGAAAAATACAAAGTGTTGAAGAGTGTCTACTACAGAGTGACAGAGAAGACAGTTGGGACTAGCAAGAAAGGAAGAGGCACGATAAAAAACGAAACCCGCAGTGGGGACCCTTTACCAAAGGATTTTCCACCGCAAAGATCATGTTTTATGAAACATCGTCCACCACCAAAACAATTTTCAAGAAATTTCAGAAGGGGAGAGCGAACTTGACGAGGGAAGCAGGTGCCGACGAAGGGAACCTGTCCGAGCTTTGTGGAGAAGACGGCCATCAATCACGACGAGACACATGATAGACAGGAAGCCATCCACAGGATGAGGAGAGTCTGAGGTAGTGGAGAGGAGGGGAGAGATATACCAAGGCCAAAGGACTATCTTGGAGGCGTCTAGATATCGGAAGAATGCTAGGAGTTGATTCCGGGCATATCGAACATCTTGCTGGGGGATTCGACAGAGACCTCCACGAGAATCGATCATAAAGGCGTGATGAACATAAACACCTTTGAGGTTCCAGTGGGGTATGGCAAAAGGGGGAATGAAGGTCCAGATGGCCTGAAGAGGTAAAGTGAGAGCAGTAGCAGGGGAGAAGCGGACAGACAAAGGAATAATGTGAGATAGAATATGTGCGCTAGCACGTACCTATTCACTTCCATACATACATACATACTTGCTTGTAAGTATGAAATATATCATTTATCTGAAGTTAAACATTGTGAATCAAAAATTAAAAAACTGAAAATATGTTCTTTTTTTTAAAATATTATAAATCATGTCTGGAATACACCCAATTTCCCTTCGTCCCTCTGAAGGACACAAAGATCTTTTGTTTAAGATGACCAAAATAAAAGAATTCATGGCCAGTGTACGTGGTGAGCTCACTACAATGCATGCAGCCACTCGTGTTGTTTTTGGACAATATAGCGATGGAAGATTCCATACATCTGCCTATGTTTCTTTTGGTGGTATTCTTATTACTGCTGGTCTCACTGACAGAATTCCTGTTGTTATTCCACCTGAGTTCAGGCGCAATCATATTGACAAGGCCTTTGTAAGTATTACTGTATACAATATTTCGACTATTAAACCTTTTTGTTAAATAGGAATTGATTTAGTGGTACATGTGGAATTATAACCTAAATTCGAGTGATCCTGCCTGTTGTGGCGGTTGAAGTTGAAGAAGTTTTAAGACGAAGAATTGAAGATTTGAGATAAGAAACAAAGATTCGTGAGAACTTGTGTAGGATTTGTTTATTGAGAAAGATTTGGTATCAAAGTTTGATGAGGTTCCTACACTGAACTACTACTGCTATTTATATTATTTTGGATCGGGAAAATTATATGACTGGGGTCAGGTAATCGATCCTATCTGAGCCTTAATCAGAGCAACGTGATCTTGGGATAATTAATGTATGATTAATTATATAAATGTGTGTAGTCCCAATGAAGTATTAACATCGAAAGTAAATGTGTTTATGAGTTATAATTATGCTTATAATAATCCACTGATGTATCCCATATTATGGTGATATCATCATATGAAATATAATCACTATCAAGCATGCTAAACCTGTGTGTTAAATAATAAAGTAATCGGTAGACACCTTTGACTGGAATAGCTGAGGCCTTATATTATTTCCTTCAGACTTATTCTCAATTACAGCAGTAGTCAATACTCATTTACAGCACTGCCCTTGTCCGTGCAAACGAGGAAAAGCTGAAGTGGACACCGGCTGTCTACTTCAACAAAAGTGCTAACAAAGAGACCATAGTCAATCTCCTTGGTTACTTAGTCCCAAAGTTTCTTTGGGAGAGGATAAGATAAAGCGAACTCCAGAAAATGTTCACACAAACTTCCGTAGCAGAGTTTGCAAGGTGAGAGAATGTCCTAGGGTAAGAGCTGCTACAAATGCTCAGGGAAGGCGGGCTGCCAGAGAAGCCGAATTCAGTCATAGAATAAATATTGATATTAATATAAAAATAAAAATAAAAATTATTGTTTATTTCGTCTTATTTATTATCATCTTCACAAACTCAATAATGACGATTTATATAGAGGTAGTAATTATTCTGCTCTATTCTTTTTTGTTATTGTCTTGCTTTTCTTTCTTTTAAAAAAAATTAAACGAAAGAAAGAAGGATATTTATAATTATTGTTTTTTAAAGTATAAAGCTTTTTTTTTTGTAAAACAACTACCAATTTTTTTTTGGACAAGTCCTATTCTCTGATTAGCAATTGATATTTCTAAGAAGATTCTATGTGCAGGCAGAGTTGAATGATAGTTTCATGGTGAAAGTGGTGATCCACAAATTTCAACTCCATCTTTATCTCGTGATCTATCTACAAGCAAAGGAAGCCAGCTGACAAATGCAAACACGTGCTATTCGTAATGAGTGAGGTGAGTTTTGAAATAAAGGGAATCAGAGAAGGAGTGAAGGAATGTATAAAGACATATTGTATATGACAAGTAGATGTAGTTTTGGTAACATCATTACTGCCAAGAAACAACGATTGCAAATATGATTCATGACCAGTGGTGCCGTTATTACCATAGGACACTTGGCCAAGGACGTCGATTGATTTCAACTTTGTGATTTGATCATCGGAAAATAATGGAGAAGCGGAATTGTGGTAATGGACGATATTGAGGGTGAGGTATCCGAATTTGGAGTATGCCAACAAATGGGTATAATTAATATCACTTATTGAAGAAGGGTTACTAATTAAAAGTAAGAAGGGTGTAGGTGGGAGAGGTTTTGTCTATTATAGTAATTATGATAGTTCCAGAAAAATCCACAAATGCTTAAAAATGAATGGTAGCCGAAGAACGGGAGCTTGAGTGGGGCATGTGTGAGCAACCTTGGTAAAGTCGTCCTTGTAAATATATTTAAGGAAGCAGCCCATGAACGTAACCTCATGGCTGCTTTTACCATTGGTACTGATATTCTTAAGTAGGCCATTGTATCTCTCGGGCCCAAAGAGCCAATAACCACACACTGGTTCAAAATCTAGAATAGGTTCACGGACGTGGAGGTGTGGGTGTAGGTGCATGTTACATGAGAGAATTGTGGTAGTGTATAGAGTGTTGCATTCTTCACAAAATTGTACGAGATGTCTATGGGCGGTATTAATATCATTGGATGAAATACTGGGCTTTACAAGGTAATGGCAGGCATGAACAAAACTGACCCAGTTATTGAAATAGAATGAGGGGATTACCGACTTCAATGTCACGGGAGAATACACCGACACCCACGACTTCCACTCGTCTGCTTTCGCATATATAAACTTCTTGCCGACTTTGCTTCTCAATGCAGTATATCTTTTTGACATAATCATATTATTGGCTATCTTCTGTATGGCGATGAAACCCCTGTCTCCAAGAATATTATGCTAGATCCACTGATATATCATTATTTTTGCTGTTTCTGGAAACAGGTTGTGTACGGAGTCAATGATCATTACACGTACTTAATCAAAGTATCCAAGGCAGTGCAACGGTGACAATCGAACACTGTTTTCGATTTTCAGATACTGTTTTTCTGAAGGGGTGACTATGCTCTTCCACTCCTCAGCATGCAGCCTATTATCCCCACAGCTACGGTGAAACCACTCGGACTCTTTAACCCCACAGAAATTGACCTTGTTTGTGGTGTCAAAGCAAGTGAAATGACGGTTGCACTTAAAGCATGTACATGTGCTATTGTGTGCGGTAAACCCGCCGGTCTTTCTCGCAGCTGGGATGTTGCAGGAAACCATCATAAATCCAGCCCGAATCCCTCGCCAGCAGGGAACTCGAACGTTTGAATTCTTACTCCATGATACAGATGTATCAATTCATCTACAATTGGCTCAATGTAGTTATTGATTACGTGTGTTTTGGGCTCTTTGGGTCCAAGGGCAAGACCTACAAGGATGATGTTTTCGGCTTTAAACCACTCACTACAAGGTAAGTTGTTGGTCACCACGTAGCAAAATGCAAATAGCACAGTAAATACTGCGATGAATCTGTGTACATGATTCTCAGGAATACTGCTGTTTGAAAACATATCTACTTCAAAATAGAAGAAATTAACACTTTTTTCCCTTCTTTTTCTTTAGATTTTTCTTTAACTTTCATACGAACATTCATTGTTTACCTCTTCAACTTCAATATCAAAAATATTGCTGTAATTTTCATTGCTCTCATAATCATTGTCAATTTCATTGAAATCCCCATTGATCTTACTGTGAACAGAAACATTGCCGACTGACATAGGGGAGATATCCAAAATGGGTAAGTCAGACTGACATGAATGTACTTCCACAGATCCAGATTCATGGATTACAATAGCTACAAATATAGAATATAATAAAAAAGACGTTTTCTTATACTCAAATAAATATGTCTTAATATCTGCATCAACGTTCGTTAAATGTGTCTGCGCACCTGTGTTAAATATAAAATCTATTAAAATATAGAAAAGCTAAGCTTATACTGTGAATGCCATATCCATTTCACTTCTAACGGTATCTTTTAAAGATGCCTTCTTGCTATAACGATGGGAAAATCTCTTTGGTACTAAGGTGTATCCATCATCATTTTTAATGCATTCAGTGCAATGGCACTCATCAAAGTTTTGTTCGATTATAGAAGACATGACGTTTGTGTTTCTTTAATGATGGAATAAAAGGGAAACAAGTGCTACATGTACTTTATCCACGAAGTCTTTATAATAATAAATAGAATAGCTTTTGTTGTTTATTATATCCGAGCCAATAGAACACAGTAAAACTGTGTTTTCAACTTGTGGACATGAAAACTATCCCACATTTTCAATTGTTATCAGGCAACTATGCACATTGTAATGTCCACCCTTTTTTCCAGTGTGATCCATTCTCAAACACAAACAGTTCTGACAACACCGCTATTGACTATTAATGAGGGTCCATTCTCGATATCTAACCGCCCAATTGCTGGTATGGTGCAGAGCTACACCCATTTCCAGCCTGAAGTAGAGTCTGTTTTGTCTGCCGTCGTGGAAGAGAAAACATGAGGACACTTTCCGTATAAACTTCACAGGGAAAAATCCTTGCTGGAAAAGTTAGCTGGGCGTAATCGGTTTTCTCATCGTTGAACAAGTAAGATAAGAGTAAGTATAATTAATGGTTTTTGTTTAAATAATTTTAACATATTTTTTTTTCCTTTTACAAAGCTTTGAAGACTACGAAAAATCAATTTACCGACAAGGAAAACCTGGAGTCTAAGTTTGTTGAAATTTTTGATGGCCTTCTTGAAAAGGATACAGTGTCTAATATTGAGTCAGATGAGGAGGAAGAGTATACGACTTATTCTTCAAGAAAGAGACAGCCCTTGGTAAGGCATTGATGACAAAGAAATGTCATTTTTTTATTTAGAATTCCTAATTGCTTATATTATAACACAGGTCAAAGAATACTTTAGCAAGTTAAAAGGACGGAGAAATGATCAAAAAGAATAAAGGTCATTAGCTTTTCCAAGTGTCCAGCTATTCCAAGAAACGTCGAACTTTTGAAGGAGAGAAAGGTGCGTGTTGTTGCATGGAATAGCACACGGCAGTAATAAAAAAATACTGAGTATATAGTATTTTATTGATTTTTATTGATTGTTTTGAAAGATGTGGGTTGAATCGATAAAAGATGATGCGGTAGTAATGTCAAGATGGGAATTAATAAATAAATAATTATTTTATTTTATTTTACTTTATTTTACAGCCGATTAATGAAATATAAATATATAAAACAATTATTTAATTATATAACCTTGATTGTTTTATCCACAGTTTTTTTCGTTGGAAATTGTAATATCGCTCTCTGTAAGTTTATTTTGATAAAAGCTAAGAAAATGGTGAGCATTGGGTATTAAATATACAGGTATTTTGTCTTTCATATTTTTGGTAAAAACAAGAAAAATAAATAACGGTTTTTACTATTCGTTGATAATATAATTCACTATAATTTTAAATATTTGATAAAGAAGTAATGCTAAAACCAAAGAAAAATAAAGACAAACCCTTTCGCAGTCAAAAAAAAACTCTTATTATAATTATTTATATTAGTAATATAAATCATTCTATTTTTTTATTTTTTCGTGACTACTTTTCTAGGCAGTGGGATGACTAGGCGCTTTTGGATCCCACCCTGGATGTTGTGCGTAGTCAACGCGAAATACGAATGCAGACGATGCACCGGGATGATGCACGCAATACTCTTCTTAATAAACCCACTCACCCACAAATTCAGACCTTACCCAACTAACGGCTTAATTCTGACAGAATGGCAAGTCGCAAATCTTTTTAAAAAATCAAACGTTGACACTTTTGATTCTACCAATCTTGATGACAAGTAAATATGTACTCAATCTGACCAGGGAATTTAGAGATGTCGTCAACTATCCTACCAAAAAAAAACATAACCCGCACAATTGAGCTGCGATATTTCTTCTGTTCACTAAAAAACTCCTGGCCAAGCAACGAAATATTCTTCATCTTCTGAATGTAAATGTTTACCAGCACATTCTCACCAAGTGAAATACTCCCCACGCCGCAGAAAGAAAAGTATTCTGGTAAGCCTTGACATAGAATTTGAATAGCCATTAAGAGTAGACATACTTCATTGTATTCAAATTTATAACTTCAATGGCATGGTAGTTGGTGGCGACGTCTTAGTTCCGATTACATTGTACCATAGGCTGTTGACGACTTGCTGGAACATCGGGAGGTCGAATGGCAATGCAGGAGGATAAGCATTATCAATACACTGAAGACACGGTAGATGAGATTCAGATAGCACTTGCGCGACGCCTTAGGAAAATATTATCATACGCAGCAGAAGATTAATGGAATACACACGAAGAAAACATGTCGGTGAACGCCTTATCCAGGGAAACACTCATTAATGTCATCTCAAGACCATTGCGGTAGTTTGTCTTGATTTTTTTAACTTATCACTGCACCACTCAAGAATATATATCCAAAATGTATAAACCGGACCAAAGTCAAGCGTCGACTCACGCAAGTGCATATTTGGTGTGATACTGCTTTTTTCGTAAAGACTCTGACATTATTTCCCAATTTCACCAAGGGGTTGGCGTGCGTAGTCTATATGTAAGTATGTGTTTGATGAGCCTCTCAACTTTCGGCATGTTCTCACAAGGTTGATCTAGTTTTTGAAATCCTTTTTGCGCAAAGTCTCGCTCAACACCAACAGCAAGTACACCAGACACCACAATCGCTACTCACCTGCCTTCATATATGGGAACCCAGGCGCGACTTTTTCGAACAAGACGGCATGTTCAGAAGGAACAGTCATATCATCAGCAAAGCGTTGCATACGAGCAATAACAGCAGCGGAAAAATGCAAAGCCATTTCAAACGCTGGCCATACGGTTTGCTATCACAAAAATATATTGTGCGTGAGATCAACAATCGTGTAAGCGGTGCAACTCTGAAAACTGCACGCCGTTCTGATTCTCCGAATTTTCTCTTTCTACATCTGATTCTGTACAAGACCACATATTGGTATATATCGAATTCATCTCCTTTGTCCGTGACACCCAGCTTTCATAGTCGCCCCAACGTAATCGATCTTACTTGATGCAATAAACACGGAGAAGTATAGATTGAATTTATGACAACCGTTTGTGTTTGCATGTTATGTGAATCCGGCAGCATTTCTAGCAGCAGGTATGTTGGAAGTAACACGCATTATAGCAGTATGGACAGCAGTACCACTAGGGAACTCGGTAGCCTTCGCAGTTATACCACCGTACAACTCTACCAGCTCATCAACAAGATTTTCCAGAAAATTGCCCATCTGATTATTCTCTGCTTCCTTTGGACCAGGCATGACACCAAAGAGGATGATATTTTCTGCTTTCATTTGGTTTTCCCTGAAAAAATTGCTGATCAGTAAATATAAAGCACCACCGGCATAAGTCCGGCCTTCAAACAGATTAACCCAATTCACATTCAATGTCAACATGAGATAATGGGTATGATTTACAAATGCCTCGTTGGCTTCATCGAGCAGTTCAGTCTAAATTGCATCATCATATACGTCCGTCATCGTACTTTCTATTGTTTTGCTTGATCCAGAGTACGCGATTTAATCATCGAACCTGAGGCTGTGGGAATTTCGTGCCACGATATTTTCTCAGTAAGCTGTAAATAAATACCATGAGAGGGACTAGCTTCTCAATTGCTGGATCAACATACAGAGAATTACTGTCATATATAGATGGGGTGGAAGGTACTTCTCGGAGGAACAGTTGGATTTATGATAGCCTGGCAAGTATATGACAAACCGTTTGTTACAGATGGTGTACTTGAAAACGGGTTTTCTTCGTAAGATCGAATCCAGACATGATCTTTTATACATCAACGATGACATGAGAATCAGTATCCTTCTCACAGGTAACAAGAAAGTGCTGGGATAATTTCAGTGTTGAAGATCGCCCCTGCTTGAAATAAGTAAGACGCTTGAAAGACAACACCAAATCGAGCCATTAGTTGAGTGACTTGAGGAATACCATCCATTTTCAAATATGGGATTACAAAAAGGCAAATGTTATGATAAGTATCATTATTATCTGTAAAATGATTTATGTATATTTCTTTGTTCAATAGGTGCATACCTGAATCCATCGTATCTTTAAATACTATGACACCGACAATGTCAGCTTCATTCTCATCGTTGGACTCCTCACTTTAATCCGGATAGTTAATGTCAAATGACGATAGCGGTGTCTCAGTGTCATACTCTTCTTTAAATTGAAAAGGTTTGTCTTCTCTCAAAAAAAGTATACTATATGTGGCGGTTTCAGGAAATCTAATAGAAGAAGTACCTTTATCTACGTTAATAAAAATAAAATAAAAATATGTTTTATACGATTTTTTTTTGGTCTTGGTTATTGAGATATATCAGTCTATTATCAATTTAATTAACTCTACTAAGCTTACGGTCTCTATTAGTAAGAATTACAAATTGAATTTTATATATATCTTTTAATATAATGATAATAAGGGTTATACTAGCTATCGATGCTTGACAATTCGTTGCAGCAATGTTTTAACTACTATTCAAATAGTGTTCAATATAAAAGTACAACACGTGTTGGGTGCATTTAATATTTTTGAGTAAAATACTTTTGGGTGTAATAATCTTGATTAAAATACCCGTGAGTAAGATTGATCATAATACTATTAATATCATTATTAATTGTACATCTAGCACACTAATTGTTTGTAAGTTTCGGTCACGTCTCGACAGTCAAACATCCGACCTTTGTGTTAGAGCAACCCTTTCAATTTAAATATTTAACAAAAAAAGGCGTTGGTATACATATATATAATATTAATTACCAAAGTACAGAAATAAACGATAATTATCATTAAAACATGAGTGTAAAGTAGGCAGGGAAAGTACGCCAAGGTACATCCCTAAGTACGCATTTTACTCTTTCGTAATGATATAGCTCTCGATACCAGTGAGTTTCGTTTTATATTACCAGCCCAAGGTATTATAATGGACGCCACAAGTACTTTGTAGCTCTAATGTCTTGAATTCAAAAAATAAAATAAAAAATAAAATAGTAACTACGATAGTACTCGACAGAACCGTGTATATATTTGACAGTATAGAGATACTTGTCTTTGTTTTTTCTATTAACTTCTTTTATTAACAGCTTCTACTGTATTTAATTTAAGCCAAAAACCAAAAAAAAAAAGAGTACTTGTATATGTGATACCCAGAGTCAGATATCCTCGTAGTCTTTAAGAAATTATATATATACAGTAGAATATTGTTTTTCATGCTAATTAACCATCCATAGTTCTAATTAAAGCAAGATATAGTATCTTTGTTTTCAGAGAGGTTCTTGTAGAGAGCATTAAATGTAATTGCAAAAATATTTATAAAGCAATTAGCAACAAAAGTTTCGTATTTATTGTACAGTTTTTAATGCACCCAAGGTGGTCAATATACTTTACACTTAAGTGGCTGCTGAATAAAAAGAAAAAGAGAAATAAAGACATGCTTCTATACTAATATATCTTACTTGTCATGAAAATAAGCAGTTGTGCAAATCATTAGGAATGACGCTACTAAACTTTTCGACTAGTTGGCGGATGGGCATAGATGAGCAATTATCGGTTTTGGTCGTAAATAAATGAATATGGTACATCAAAGGAAACCATTCTGCGCACACACCCGCACCTACGCAAAACAATCGGATCCAGAGCATAATCAAATAACACTGGATTTATACGTTTTTATATTTCTTACCATTTTATCATTTTTCATGAAAATAATTAAACCGCCAACACAAAGCAACTGTCGAAAAAACAAAATAATATTAGTATAGTTGCACCTAACCAAGACTTATATACCATCACAATCCTCATCGCCCACCTTTATGACAACGATTCCGCTAATATTGAAAGGCAAGTAGTTATTCCTTTCTTTTATGTTGCTCATTCACGCACACAAACGCCAGCTGTACCAAGATTTAATTTGAGTTGAGTGCAATTTTAGACAACCCAATTTCTTTGTCATTCTTTCTTTCCTTCTTTCTTTCTAAATTCAGTGCAATAGATCTCTGTTTCCTAAAAAAGGATTAGAGAATACATAGAAGCGCCTGTAGAAACAGATGATTTTTTAACATCAAGCAAAATGCATCGACTCTTGTCCAGGGTGAAAAAACGCGTGATGACGGATACAGATAAGGTATAGAATAACAATAATGAGAATAAAAAATGATTGATACCTTTGGTGTGCGGGATGAGGCCAAGATAATTTTATTGACAATGAACGTGAATGAGAAAATATTTGGGAGTTATTGGATTCTCACTTTGACCTCCATGTGGTTGATGGTTTTAACCTCTTAAAATGCATTATCATTGTTGTTTAACTTATTTATTTTTATTACTGTTTTGTAATCGTTCCAAATTCTATCTAGACAAAGAATCAAAATGGGGAAAAACATCGTTTAATTGTTGTGGCTCAAAATTTAAATATTATTTATTTATTTATTGAGCCATGTCATACGGAGGATAAGCCAATCGTTTACCTCTCTTGCGATGCGTACTGCCTGTTCATACATATTTTCCCAGGGGTGGAAAAATCTTATACTTCACCTCCTTGTAATTTTCTGATTTTCTGGCTCTCTTCCTTTTTTAAAAAAAAACGATTGACTTTCTGTGGTGAAACTACTTATTCTTAAGTTCTTTACAAAACAGGTTTAACTTATTGTGCCATCACAAATACTATTATCACTCAAAATAAACTCTTTTCACAATAAAAATTCATATTAGTTAAGAATATTGTATCTTATTTTTTGAACCATTGTAATCACCGTGAATTATCCCAAGCGTATATAATGTATAAAAGCCCTTTATTTGTAAACAAAAACTTGCCCCACCAATAAATTGGCTTTCGTTTCTGGTATGTAACGCACCTTTATCATTACTCGATTTAACATGAAATGGAAGCTTTTCTTTTGTACATATGCTTTCTACAATAGCCATAAGTACAGACGCTATTCTTACCATCTTTTTCTCATGAGTATTAAACCTTTACAGTAAAAGTATATTTTTTCGATCAAGGTATATACCGACAAACAAAAATTAGTTACCATCACTGCACACGCCTACTCTTCTTATTATTTACCGTTTCAAATATATATATATATCGATTATCCCTATTTTTGCTGATATATACAACAGGGGGCCTAAAAAATATATAAAATAAAAAATCATAATAATGTGGCTTTATCATACAAAGAGAATGCGAGTAATTGTTTTCTAGTTGGTACATATTAAAACTTGCTCGTGGTCTTGGTGAAAAGTCGCACTTTTAACAAATATAATATGTTTTTAGAGTTGTTCTTGGTAAAATACGTGTATGCGTGCATGTGCGCTGGTGTATGATTGTAGTAATGTCGGTTGTAACTTTCGGGCATGTTGATGTGAATATGTATGGTTATTGAAAGAGATGCACACAGAAGAAAAATAAAATAAATAAATAAATAAATAAATAAATAAGAGTATTATTTTTGTTTATTCTGCTTGAAAATAAAACCCCCCGTCCTCATTCCTCAACTGGAATCATTGCACCAATGACTGTAACAAAAATTATTTTTCTTCAACTTTTCAACCTTTCAACAGAAAATATAAAGAATATCAAGTATATATATATACCTTTTGTAATTGAGATTATTTGAACAATCTGTCGCCTCGGTTAAAGGGCAAGCAAGATACCAAAAAATAAATAAATAAATAAATAAAAAATATTCGTTTCAGTCGGCATTTATAATATTATTATTTTTTTATTTTTTTTTAGAAATCAATATTTTATCAAAAAATAAAATTCATATAATTCTACTTTTCTCGACTTCTACTGATTGTATTTATATGCTTCTTGGCTCTATCGATAGCTAATAAAGAAGAGTAACAGAAAAGTGGCATTAGAGGCGCATTGTCGGCTTTTAGAATTTTTCGGAGTTTGAATCAAGCCACGATTAGATGGCCGCCGGGATTTGGTATAGTGGGCAGGTTGGTAGATAATTAAAATAAATCGAATATTGCTGCTCAAGTATAACATTATCAATATATATTAAAAGAAAAATATTGAATTAATCTAAAAAAAAAAACATGGGCTTTCACACAATTTTTTTGAGTATCATAATTTGGTATAAATGCAATAAAAACATTACAATAAAACAGAACAAAATAAAATAAAACTAAAAAGTTAAAAATATATATATATGAAATCTAAAGTAAAAAAGTAAAAGACAAAATAAAAAATATATATCTAATAGGGGGTTTCATTATCTGTTTTACATTTTATTTTGTGAGATATTATAAATTGAGAGATTTTTACCAGCTA